TCCCTCCCCATCCCATCCCTCAGGGTCATCCCAGTGCACCATCCCTGAGTGCCCTGTCTCATGCATCGAACCTAGACTGGCGATCTGTTTCACATATGGTAATATACATGTTTCAATGCTATTCTCTCAAATCATCCCACCCTTGCCTTCTCCCACAGAGTCCAAAAGTCTGTTCTTTATATCTGTGTCTCTTTTGCTGTCTTGCATATAGGGTCATCGTTACCATCTTTCTAAATTCCATACATATGCATTGATATACTGTATTGGTGTTTTTCTTTCTGACTTACTTCTCTCTGTATAATAGGCTCCAGTTTCATCCACCTCATTAGAGGTGCATACAAATGCATTCTTTTTAATAGCTGAGTAATATTCCATTGTGTATATGTACCACAGCTTTCTTATCCATTCGTCTGCCAATGGACATCTAGGTTGCTTCCATGTCCTGGCTATTATAAACAGTGCTGCGGTGAACATTGGGGTACACGTGTCTCTTTCAATTCTGGTTTCCTTGATGTGTATGCCCAGCAATGGGATTGCTGGGTCGTATGGAAGTTCTATTTCCATTTTTTTAAGGAATCTCCACACTGTTCTCCATAGTGGCTGTACTAGTTTGCATTCTCACCAACAGTAAGAGGGTTCCTTTTTCTCCGCACCCTCTCCAGCATTTATTGTCTGTAGACTTTTTGATAGCAGCCATTCTGACTGGTGTGAGATGGCACCTCATTGTAGTTTTGATTTGCAAAAAATGTGCATTTTAGAGTCAGTAAAACATAATACACAATTTGTGACCATGTAGTAATGTTTGCTGCACCTACAGATATGAGACATACTTCTTTCTTCATCATTGTATCATGGCCAACGTAATTCAATAAATCCTTGAAAGAATAAATAAGTGAATGAATGAATGAATGAGTGTGCAGATCTTCTAGAGGACTCTGTCTTACACTCCAAATGCTTAAAGGATATAAATAAGAAAATGCATTTTAAATCAGCATTAATTGCTAAATAAGTGCTGGAAAGTAACGATAATATTGTCTGACATTTATTTTGAAATGACACATCTATCTCTTTGGAAAGAAGTTCTGGAAATGATTAAATCCTGGTAAATAAGAACCACCCACCTCTGTAAAACAGGTGAATTCTAAAGTGAGTAATTTGAGGTGTTTAATATAACAAATAAATTGGGTGGAGAAAGCCAGCTGTTACCACCTCCTACTCTTCTCTGTTTTTAAAGGACAGACAAATTCAGACCAATGAGAGAAGTAGTTCTTTATTTTTATAGAAACCTATAAGGGAGAGGCCATTCTGTCCATGCACCGCTTATTTCTTCAGTAGAAAAGGCATTTAACAAACAAGCAAAAAGGCAATATATTCATCCAGGTACATGCAAGTCTTATTGTATCTTGATAATTGTTAAACTGAATCCTTACCTAGAAACATGCATTTCGAAGAAGAATTCCGTCTATTCGCCAAGGAAAGTTACACCATTGACTCCTAGTGTTATTTGATAGCTTTTTTTTGTCCTCTGTCCTTCTGAGACCTCTACCCTATCCCTTGTTCCTTTGAAGTGCTACCATCATCCTATGATCACCAAGTTCTGATACAAAGTGGTCCACAGAGCTGAATGAAGTAGACTAAAAAATGTCCAAAACAGCGAATGACAGCGAACAGAAAAGCCTATCAGAATGGGACATGGTTTATATTTATATTTACACAGAATGCCTCCAAGTTAAATCATTAAAGAATTGTGAATCGTCTAGAGGAGTTACCATGGAACTGAGTTATAGTATGAAATCCTAGTCAGCTATTAACAAAATTAAGGAATTTCTACATGTACTCACCTGGAAAAATATCTGTGACACAGCCTTTACTACAAAGAGAAAAAAAGTTGTTGACCAATACACAGTATAATTTTTAGTTGTTTAAAAAAATGTTTGGGTCAAAGATTTATCTTTTTAGGATACGTTACAGAAGGTAATATAGGACATATAAGGAGTCTTCGTGCTTGCACTCATGAAGTTTTGTCTAGTGAGGGAGATAAAACTTGTGTGTAAATAAAATTATGGTCCTAAGGTAGATAGTAAGAGGTGTCTTGAGGGAGAAGTTCAGATAAGGTGCCAAAAGAATTTAGAGAAGTAGTTGGATTAATTCTGAGAGCATCAAGCACTGTTCATGGAGGAGAAGGAGCTTTAACTGAATCTTGAAGGTACCTGTGGGGGTGTGAGGAGTGGGGACATTAAAAAACTTGCCTCTATTTCAGTGTAGTTGAATTTGATATCCAATGATAAATGTGCTACTTACAGAAAATGCATGTACACTATAAATATGGAGAGAGATGTATATATTTAGTATACATAATGATTTATTAATAAATATACATTCAAATAACATACAGAAACTTAGACGGACTGAAAACTTTATCATAGGATGGTTAGTAGCATCCCTGGCCTCTTTCTGCTAGATCTCAGTAGCATCCCCTGAGCATGGCAACCAAAAATGTCTCTAGACATTGCCAAACGTCTCGGGGTAGGGGGAATCCTATATACAAATACATTATTTTCTGCAGATGGATAAAAATTCTAAACTTAATGATCTGGATTTTCTTTTTCTTTTCTTTTCCTTTTTTTTTTTTTCTTTTGGCCATGCAGCATGTGGGGTCTTAATTCCTCAACCAGGGATCAAAACCACATCTTCATTGAAAGCACAGAATCTTAACCACTGGACAGCCAGGTAAGTCCCTGGATTTTCTTTTTAGGTTGTATCTTCAAGGGTTCTTAACCTTAGTCTGTGGTTCTTGTTGTTTAGTCAATAAGTCATTTCCAACTCTTTGTGACCCCATGGACTGTAGCCCACCAGGCTCCTCTGTCCATGGGATTTCCCAGGCAAGACTACTGGAGTGGGTTGTCATCTCCCTCTCCAGGAAATCTTCCCTACTCAGGAATCGAACCTGCATCTCCTGCATTGCAAGCGGATTCTTTACCACTGAGCCAGCTTATTTTTTTTTCCCCCCAGAGAAGGAAATGGCAATCCACTCCAGTACTCTTGCCAGGAAAATCCCATGGACAGAAGAGCCTGGAGCACTACAGTTCATGGAGTCACAGAGTTGGACACGACTGAATGACTGAGCACAAGCTTTGGAAGATCTGTTGAAAGCCACTGATTTATTTATTCCTCAGAAAAACATACACATGGTAATACCGAGTCAAATACAACTTCAGGGGATTTACACCAAGGGTTCTCCTGAGAGGATTCTGTTTCCTAATGCTTATGAAATTACCACTGTCTGAATTTTCCAGCTGGGTAACTGAAGGCTGGTGTTGATAATCAGCAGAGAATTTTCTTCTTTACTGAACTCCCTCCCCTCATCTTAACCAGAATAGTCGGCTTTAACAAGACTCATCCTAGCAGGAGACAAAATACTGAGGAGATAGGATAGATTCCTACTCCCCACTCTCACCCTTCTAGTCTTGATTATTGTTTACTTCAGTGTATTCCCCCCTTCACAGTTCAGACCAATGAGAAGAAAGATACAAGAACCAAAGGGTCAGTCAAGTAAGAAAGGGTGGCCACCTGGGCACTTGATTTTGATTGTGAAGTGAAACACACATAAGCACAGAAAAGTTCGTATCTAAGCTTTATGAATAAATTACTGAACTGTCTATAACCACCACTCACTGGGCACTTCCAAAGAAAGACCTTCTAGAAATCCAAAGCCTTATTAAATGCAAAACTGGCCACTGCTCCTTTCCTCCTCCCCACTTGGTTTGAGATCGTGGAGCTTCCGGATTCATACAACCTAGAAGTCAAGGCCAGCGCTCCTCGCAGTCACTGACCTCTTCTTCCACGCTGGGCTCTGGTCTCCTGTAACAAGCTCTCCAGGGCCTGCTCCGCCCCTGACCTCGAGGCCCACGTTAGTAATTGAGGGGCGGTGGATTCGGGTGGCCCTTGGGTGAGAGCCAGTAAGATTCTCAGCCTTCCTGTTTCGGGAAAGGGAAAGAATTAGGGAGGGGTAGATTTTTTTTTTTTTTTTTTTTTTTCCTGGTAGGATAGGTGGGGAAAGACCGCTGCCTGTGTGTCCCTTTTTTGGACTAAGGTGTCTCTGTTGCTCCGTAAATAAAACGTCTCACTGCCTTCTGAGAGCGCTATAAAGGCGGCGGAACGGCTGTCCCGTGGGCATTCCAGGCTGATCGTGAGTCGAAGCAGGTGAGATTGTCGCTGAAGATGCAACGCACGCCACGCCGCCCTGCCTTAACTCCCGGGGAGGCATCGCTGGTTGGGAATGGGACTAGTGGAGGTGGCGGGGGAGCGGGGGGGAGGACATGCTACGGAGCTGCCCGGCAGGGGACAGTACAGTCTTTCTGAGAAGCTGAGAGCAAGAAGGAAGCTAGGAAACAGGCCGAGGTGTGAGACTTACTCCATTCCCCAAAGTTCTGTCTCCGGGAGAGCGCGCCCGGCTGCTGGAATTTTCCTGCAGCGTGCGCGCAGCCTTGGGACCCGGGGAACGTGGCCTGAAGGCCCCACGTCCGGCGCGGGGGCTGGCCTTCTCTCCCAGGGCTCTCCTGGCTCTGCGCGCTGCTTCGGGTTTAGGGAGATGGGGACGCTCACAGAGGCCCTTTCCTGCCCTCCGCGCGCGCGTTTCGCGGGCCCCAGCTCGCGTTTGGGGAGATTTCAGGACGCGGACAGCGCCCTGGCTGCTCATCCGAGGGGACTGGGTCTGGCTCCGGCAGCCCCCCAGCGCAGGACTCACTCTTTTAAGAGTCCGGGAATCCCGGGCAGCAGAAGTAGGCTAGAGACCCGAGGTCCTCAGGGCCTCCTGCAGGCTGGAGGTGCGCGCCCAGCCGAGGCGGGCCTGGGCGGAGAGTGTGGCAGAGCGCGGACCCTTCTCTCGGGGATCGACTGCAGCAGGTGGGGCCGGGAGGCAGCTAACTAGCGGTCTTCACCTCCTCTTCTCCTCCCTCGCCCCATCTCCTCCCTGCTCGTCGCCCTCCGCCTCGCAGGTCATGGCAGCGCCGGGCGACAGGTTGGAGCCGCCGCCGCTCCCCGAGTACAGCTGCAGCTATGTGGTGTCGCGGCCGGTCTACAACGAGCTCTCCTTCCAGCAGCAGTACGAGCAGCGCCCGAAAGAGCGCAAGACGCTGAGAGAGAACCTGGCCCAGGGCTGCAGGTAGCGCCCGCGGCGGACGGGGCGAGGGGCGCAGTGAATCCGGGAATGTGGGCGCGCAGACCCGCCGGCATACCCAGCGGCGGAGAGTGGGATGCCGCGCCCGCCCTGCAGGGACGGCTTCGGTCAGGTTACGGACTCTGGCCTCCCTGGTGGGAAGGTCGCTCCATCACTCTCGGCCCGAATCGACCCTAGTTTCGGAAACTCCTCTTTGGAGAGGGTGTGTTCGGGGAGCGCCGTCTCTTTGTGCTGCTCTCCTGAGGGCACCTGGAGTGCGCCTTGGGGTACAGCGGGTCCCTACGGTCTTGTGAAGGCTAGGCTGCGGAGAGTGGGAGAACAAGGGACTTTCCTACAAAGAGGTAGTGGGTAACTCGTCACCTGAGCAAGAGTCCTTGAAAGCCCTAAGCTCATCCAGGAAGAGTGACACTCAGAGGCATGGAATGAAGGCGAGAACACAGGAGAGCACGGGGTGCTCCGAGTGTCCGCTGTCCAGGAAGCAGGGCTCTCCAAGAGGAACCTCCATCAGTCTCTAAACCCACTCGGGCCACCCGTAAGTAGATATCGCAAGCAGAAGGAACTGTCAGCTGCTGCTAGATTTTTTTTTCTTTTCTTAAAACATTTCAAACCGTTTAAAAAACATTTCAAATACATTCAAAAGCAGGCACAGTAGTGCAATGAACCCTCTCCCATGATTTTGCCCATCACATGGCTTCAAGGATGATTAACTCAACGTTAATCTTGTCTTACCACATACTTGCCCCACTCCACTTTTCTTTTTGGAGCAAATTCCATATAGTGGTTTTTTTTTTTTTTTTTCTTTTGGACTGTATTTATTTCAGTATTTATCTTTAGGGACTCTTAAAAAATACAACCCACAATTCCATTATCACACACAAAAAATGAAGCAATTCTTTAATATTAAAAAATTAAGTCAACAAAATTTCAAATTGTCTCATAAATATAATTTTTAAAATAATTTATTTGAATCAAGAGTCAAATAATGTTTGAAAAACTGAAAATGTTAATTGCTCTGTCATGTCCAGCTCTTTGCAACTCCATGGACTGTAGCCCTCCAGGCTCCCTCCTCTGTCCTTGGAATTCTCCAGGCAAGAATACTGGGGTAGCCATTCCCTTCTCCAAGGGATATTCCCTACTCAAAGACCAAACCTGGGTCTCCTGCATTGCAGGCAGATTGTCTAGCATCTGAACAACCAGGGAAGCCCTAAATATGTTTTTTCTTTTACCTATAGGTTGTTGAATTTTAAAAACTAGGTAGTAAGGTACAACAAGATATGTGTTCGTCATGTTAAGAGTTTTGTAAAAACTGGCTCCAAGCTCCTATTGCCAGAATGTACGGAGTTTGTTTCTTGAAAGAAAAAGAAGACGCTTAGGTCAGAAGTCCAAATGTAATCTCCATTTAAAGACTCCATATTGATCAATCTATGGCTGGACCAGAAAATGGGTTCTTGTTTGGGGGTATTTTCTTAGAGGATTAAGGGTGGGGGGGGGTTGGTTAACACTTAATCCTGTGTTTTCTAGTACAGTGCATTTAAAAGGGTAAATAGAGTTCTTGGCAAAGACATGGGAAGCCCTTCACTGTTAGTATTTTTTTCATGCAATTCCTATGCTTTTTTCTAAATAGTTAGAGACATTAGCAGACTTCAGTTCAAAACTGTGATTTGCAATGGGTTGTGACAAAGATTGGATTGGAAGTCTCCTTTTCTCGCCTTTTGACAGTTGTTCAAGAAAGAGAACCCTTCGCATAGTGAAGACTCTCCTGCCCATCTTGGACTGGCTTCCCAAATACCGGATCAAGGAATGGCTACTTAGTGATATCATTTCAGGAGTTAGTACTGGTCTAGTGGGAACACTTCAAGGTAAGATGATGGTGGTCCCCGAAGTGATGGAGAATCACAGCCTCCAGCAGCCATTCCTAACTCCACCGTCTCTCCCATGGGTCTGCACCAAAGGCTTGCTCACCCATCATAGCCTGCATCTTTCCTCCAGAGCCTGCCCCTTAGTGGTGAGATTCCCTTCTTCCTCATCTTCCTTACACTTCTCCTCTCAGGAAACCCTTTTGCTTCTCTATCTGCTTGGCTCCAACTAGATCCCTGTCACCTAAGCAGCTGCTTCCCAGTTTTCATTGGTCACAGCTCACAGTAAGAAATCTCTATGACATCATGATATGTACAAATGCATCCCAAGTTTTGTGAAATAATACTTATTCTCACTACAAGTAATGCTCTCTAATATTTTCTATTCTGTCCTATTCTATTCTGCTTAGATTTTTTAAATGATGATTGTAGTTCATTAAATTATTTTACATTTCATACATGGTCTTGACATGCCATTTGAAACTCTCTTAAAGGAAAGGGAAGGAAATATGTTAGCCTAGACTACATGCAAATGGTTTTTTCTGCTCTTGCCTCTCCCTCCCCATTTTAAATCCATCCCTGTATTTTAATCTTCTGGCAGAATGTCGCAACACAGGACATTTTTTAAACTGCCTTTAAGCCTTATTTCCATGAACTCCATTGGAACTCCATTGCAGAGCTGGTGAATAGCATTATGGGCATTTTCCTTTGTACCCTATCCTCATCATCTTGCTTCTGCCCTCACCTCAACTTCACAACATCATCTTGCTTCTGCCCTCACCTCAACTTCACAAAACCTCTGGACTATGAAAACAAAAATCTAGTTTACTTATTATTTTTTCATGGCGTATCTAGTAGGTGCCAGCCTCTAGGTATTCTCACATGAATAAGATGCACCATTTGCTTTTAAGGAGTTCATAGTCCAATGAGGAAATAGACAACAATTCAATGGAAGGACCGACTGTAGGGGTAGGGGTAATATTGCTTGGGAAGGGAGTGCACACAGGGGCACTCAACCTGGCCTTAGGGAACTGGGAATGGCTTCCTGGAGGAACAGCTCTGACGAGAGCTGTTTCCCTGAAGGTTAAGTCTCACTTTGCGATGTGATGGGAATTACAATGGGGTAGGGATGTGGGTAGAAAGATGACTTGAAATGGACTATTTGAGAAGTTAGTAACAGTGGTTGAGCAATGTCCTGAGCCAAAATTTGCCTATAGAACTCTCAGGATTACTCAGAGCAAGCCAGGGAGAGTCCCCAGAGAAGGAGGATGTCCTGTGGCCCTGTGTGGAGCAGCAGCCGGTGTTCTCAATCACAGAAGTGGACGGGAGAGCTGGACAGGATGGTATGGTTCCTACAGTAAGTGGTGCCAAGTGTACACAGGAGACTCATAAGAACTGTGGCATGGCAACCTCCTCTGGCTTCTGGGGGATGAGAACTGTCTAATTCATGTTTAGCCAGTGTTGGAGAAGACTCTTGAGAGCCCCTTGGACTGCAAGGAGATCCAACCAGTCCATCCTAAAGGAGATCAGTCCCGGGTGTTCACTGGAAGGACTGATGCTGAAGTTGAAACTCCAATACTTTGGCCACCTCATGCGAAGAGTTGACTCATTGGAAAAGACCCTGATGCTGGGAGGGATTGGGGGCAGGAGGATAAAGGGACGACAGAGGATGAGACGGCTAGATGGCGTCTCCGACTCGATGGACATGAGTTTGAGTAAGCTCCGGGAGTTAGTGATGGACAGGGAGGCCTGGCGTGCTGTGATTCATGGGGTCACAAAGCGTCAGACATGACTGGGCGACTGAACTGAACTGAACTGAGCATGATTCTGGCACCAAGTAGGTGGCCCAGCAAACATTTAGTGAAGAGGACTGAATAATGAATCATCCATATATATGAAAAATGGTATTTCAAGCTGTGTCCTGAAAGTGTTCCTAGACAAGTATCTTATACAAATTAATTTTAACTTTAGTTTTGTTTAAGTATCAGACACTATGCTAAGGGCTTTGGCAAGTTATCTCCTTAATCCTCACAACAACTCTTAATAGCTCTTTTTTCAATAGTCAAAAATCTGTTAAATTCTGCTCAAGGTCATGGAGCTGGTAAATGGTGGAGCTGGGATTTGAACCCAGAATCTAATTCCTAGGGTCTTAATTTATAAAGGACACAGTTCTTCACTTTATTAGTGATAACGTTTTCCAGAAGCATGATCTCTATGAAGTTATCTTTGTATGGTGAATGTCTGGGAGGTTAATGTGGTCCATTCATAAATCCATTCATCTAATATTTGTAGGCTGGGCTTTCCTCATGGTTCAGTAGGTAAAGAATCTGCCTGTAATACAGGAGACCCCGGTTCAATTCCTGTGTTGGGAAGATCCCCTGGAGAAGTAAATGGCAACCCACTTCAGTATTCTTGGCTGGAGAACCACATGGACAGAGGAGCCTGGCAGGCTACAGTCCATGGGGTCACAAGAGTTGGATACAACTTAGCAACCAAACCACCACCGATATTTATAGGCCAGCCATGGGGATTCAGTGGTTTACTAACAGGCATGGATACTGAGCTCATGGCACTCATTTCAAGTGGGAGACTTCAGGAATTAAATAAGCAGGTAAATAGAAAAATAATTACAGATTGTGATATCTATTATGGTTGATCAAATAGGCTTTGAGTGAGTGAAGTCACTCAATCGTGTCCGACTCTTTGCGACCCTGTGGACTGTAGCCTAACCAGGTTTCTCTCTCCATGGGATTCTCCAGGCAAGAATACTGGAGTGGGTTGCCATTTAATAGGGGTTAATTTGTGGAGGGAGTGTTTGCCTTAGATAGAATGGTCAAGGAAGGCCTTTCTGAGGGGGTGAAATTAAATCAGGGTTGGGAGGATGGGAAGGAGATAGCCATGTAAGAAACAGAAAGCAGGGTGTACCGGGCAAAGATGCAAAGTCCCTGAGGCCAAATAGAGCGTAGTATTTTCAAGGGAGGAAGAGTTCCAGTATGGGTGGAGGAGAGAGCAGTTTAGGGGGGTAAACAGGAGGAGATAAGTTTAGGCAGGGCCAGGGTTAAAATTAGGTAAGTGAGTCCTCCAGGGACCTTCTGAATAATCACCCCAGGCACCTCACTTGCCTCTCCCTAGTCTCAGCCCTGAGGACAGACATTTCAGCTTGAAGCTAATCAAGTAAGAGGTAGAGTTTCACAAGTCTGAAATATATTTTGGGGCAGGAATCACAGGTAACCTACTGATGGATAGGGACTGGCTAACAAGCAGAATTGGGATGGAAAACCAAGTGTTTCCTTTTGCATGTGCCACATTTGAGATGCCACATATGGAGTTGGAGCTACTAGAAGCAGGAAGATTATTGGAGAGGTTTGAACTAGACATAAGTCAGGAAAGCATCACTCTAGAGATGATATTCAAAGGAGTGGGAATCCCTGAGACTACCTAGGCAGAAAGGTAGATGGGGAGAAGAACCTGGTTGGAGTACTTAAAGTCAGGGGGGAGGAGGAGAGGCCACAAAGAAACATGATGTCGGGCTCAGGAAGATAGAGAAGAACAATCTGAAGGATGTGGGTTCCAAAACCAAGAGAGGAATTGTTTTCTGCTCTATTTTAAAGGATGGGGTGAAAGTGGGGTGTCTGTAGTGTGGAATACTCTTGGTGATGGAACACAGGCAATACTTTTAAGAAGGTTTGCCATGAAGCAGAGTAGAGAAACGGCTCCAGAGGCATAAAAGACAATGGTAAAGTGATGGGAGGATTTATTTTTCTTATAATATAGGAGGTACTAGAACATAGATGTAACCCAGTGGGAATGACTTAGCTGATAGAAAAATCTGTAGTCCACAAGGAGGAGGAGAAGCAACTTCTCCTGCTGGAAAAATCTGGGGTCCACAAGGAAGAGAAGTGACAAGAACGGACAAGTGTAGGTGGGTGCAACAACAGAAGTGGGGAGGCTACTCCTTAAAGATACATGGGATATTTCCTCCATTTCCAAAGGAGAAAAGACAGACAAGCACTGCATTGTTAAAAAAAAAAAAACCAATGGGCATCGCATAGATTCCAGGTTTTGGATGAAATCTAAGGTTCATCTCTGAACCACGTCTGAGAAGGGGGATGGAGAGTTTGAGGAAAGGAGGGGAAGTCTGGGTAGCTGTCTTGAGGAGAGGAAAAGCACACTTGCTAAGGAAATGTAATTGGATGGCCAGGCAGTGTGGCATTCCATCTGGGGCTTGCTATCATGAAATTTGCATGAAATTAGCCGGCCCAAATGTAGAGGTCTTTAGTTCAGTTATTCAGCTGTTTGAATGCTGGCATGGAAAGGGGTGATGCTTGAGTTTGGCCAGACTGGAGATTTACCAGAGAAGACAGGAGAAAAAGAGAGAGAGTGAAGCAAAGAAATTCAGAGTATTTGTGAAAATTCTAGGGACAGGGAGGCAAATGAAGATGGGAGGGTGCTAAGGATAGTGGCTCAGTTCATGGGCTAGAAGCCTCGTGAGGAGAAAGAAATGTTGCACTAAGGATTCTTGATAGGTGAGCGGAAAGGCTACGTGGCTGTAGATGGAGAAAAGGAGGCTCAATGTTGAGATTTCAGAGCTGCAGTTTCTAGGGATGGCAAAGGCCGCAATATATCCAGTGGCTGGGCAGCTGAGGGGTAGGGAAAAAACTCATCAATAATGTTCCTGAGAAGCCAGAAATGATAAGGATCATGGGTTTTGTTTTGCTTTTTTCTAAGAAGTGGATTTATTTAGAGAGAAACACACTCCACAGACGGAGTGTGGTCCATCTCAGAAGGTGAGTGCTGCCATGGGATCTTTTTCACTTTTATTATTAACAAAAAATTCCCTCCAGGCAGCAAGAAATCAACGCAGCACTTTTATTGCTATTTTTTATTCATAGATATGGGGGACCTGCTCTCTTACTTCCTCCTTATGCCTTCTAGATGCTTCTGAATATTTGTTAGCACCACCTTTATCAATACATGCCACCATCCTACATAGGAGGAGCACCAACACAGAGATTCCATAGTTTAAATCAATGAAAAATTTCTTTACAAATTATGTATAATTTCAAAATTGTTGTACCAAATTCCCTTACAATATGATTACAGTATACTTGAGTAGCAGTTGTCCTGAAATAGGATATTATATGAAAACTGAAAAAGTCCCCATTCTCCAGGCCTGTGAGGACTGCAGAGCCAGGTTTAGGGAAGTGGAAATTTGAGAAGGACTTGAAAAATGTACATAGGAAATAGGCTGTTCTCATTCCTTGCTTCTTCTTTTCTTTTCTAATATTTTTTAATTTGGATTTTTTTTTTTTGCTTTTGTTTTTGCTCCTTCTTTTCTTGTCTTCCCTTTGTGACCTCACCTTTCTACTCTATGTCCATGGGATGATTGCTTGTTGGAATTTATATATGAAAACAATTGCATCAGTAATACAGACTTTTCTAGAATGCACACTCTCTAAGGGCAGAGACTTTGTTTTGTCTACTCCCATATTCCCCCAAGCCTAGAACAGTGCCTGGCACATGAAGGGTACATAATCAATAGTTGTTGAGTGAATGAATGCTTATTGTGGGAAACTAGAAAACACATTATAAGGAACATGAAAAATACCTCTTCAGAAGTCTCCTTTGATTCTGCCGTGTAGATAGTCCACTAAACCTAAGTTTTAATAAATATGCTACCAGACACATAAATAAGTATCTATTTAAAAGTATAAAAAAATGTCTGAGAATAATAAACACTAGATTCAAAAGAGTGTTGCCTCCTGAGGGTGGAGGGAGGAAAAAGGATGTGATTGAGAAAGAGCATATAGAAAGTTTCAACTGTACAGCAATGATCTATTTCTTAAACTAGATGTTGGATACTTGGGTGTTTATTATATTATGTTTTTTACATATCTAAATTGTATGAAATCTTCCCACATTTTTAAATTCACACAACAAACATGTTTACTTTAACAAAAGTGGAGGCATGCATACTGATTACTATTTTGTGTTGTTGATTTTTTGGCCATGGTGCTTGGCCTGTGGGATCTCAGTTCCCTGATCAGGGGTTGAATCTGGACCATAGCAGTGAAAGCACTGAATCCTAGCCACTGAACTTCCAGGGCACTCCCTGATCACTATTTTGAATTCCGCCTTTTCTCACTTATTTCTTATATGTCCTATATTGTACTGGAGAGAGGTAGATTACTATTAGTAGTAAATTATTTCTATACAGCATATCAACTTCATTTCATAGATTACAGTATATGAAATATAGTGTAGTTAACCACTTCCCTGATTTGAGATAAGGATAAATACATCATTTGGGGGCACCAATTTAAGTTGCTGCCACTTTTTAAAAAAAATTTATTTTTAATTGGAGGATACTTGGTTTACAATGTTGTGTTGGTTTTTGTCATACAACAGTGTGAATCACCCATAAGTATACATATATCCCCTCCCTCTCAAACCTTCGTCTTATCCTACCAGCACCCCCAACCCACCCCTCTGGGTTGCCACAGAGGATGGGGATGAACTTTTTGTGTTATATAGCAACTTCCCACTAGCGATCTATTTTACAAATGGTAATGTATATGTCTCAGTGCTACTGTCTCAGTTTGTCCCACCCTCTCCTTCCCCTGCCGTGTGCACAAATCTGTTCTCTTTGCCTGCTTCTCTATTCCTGCCCTGCAAATAGATTCATCAGTACTGTTTTTCTAGATTCCATATATATGCATTAATATACAATATTTTTCTCCCTCTGACTTACTTTACCCTGTATATCCACCTAGGTTCATCCACCTCAATTCAGCTGACTCAAATTCATTCCTTTTTATGGCTGAATAATATTCTATGGTGTATATATATATATACCACAACTTCTTTACTCATTCATCTGTTAATGGACATCTAAGCTGCTTCCATCACTTTTTTTAAAACTGTTATACATATAACCCTTTATTAATGACCCAAAGGTCAAAGAACTTGATTTTTTGTCATTGTAAGTGAGTGAAATGTGGGGAGGTAGAAGATGTGCTGACTCCCTATGAAGTATTTAAAAAAACAATCCACAGGAGAAGGAAAGTATTATGGACTGAACGTTGCATCCCTCCAAAATTTATCTCTTGAAGACTTAATCCCCAGTATGATAGTATTTGGATGTCAGAGCCTTTGGGAGGTAGGGCTTCACATGTGGCTCAGTGGTAAAAGAATCCGCCTGCAATGCAGGAGACTCTAGTTTAATCCCTGTGTCAGAAAGATACCCTGGAGAAGGAAATGGCAACCCATTCCAGTATCCTTGCCTGGGAAGTCCCATGGACAGAGGAGCCTGGCAGGCTACAGTCCATGGGGTTGCGAAGAGTTGGGCACTACTTTAGCAACTAAGAGCACAGACACGCCTTTGGAAGGCAATCAGGTAGAGTCTTCATGGTAGGGTTAGTGACCTTAGGAAACCTGTGCCGTGTGAGGTTACAGCAAGAAAGCAGCCGTCTGCAAACCAGAAAAGGGTGCTCACCAGACACTGAATCTACTGGTACTTTGATCTTGAACTTCTTAGCTCTCAGAACTCTAAGAAATAAATGTTCATTGTTTAAGGCCCAAAACAAAACTCCCAACCCCCAACACATTGTTGCCTTCCAACCACCATGTACAAGGGAAGGCTGAGATTCTCCATACAGTGTGACATTCATGGACCTAGAAACCACTTGGGGAAGCCTAATGAAGGTGTTGATCTCCTAGTGCTATGTACAAAGGTCAGATTATTTTTCTTTGTTTGGATCTAACTTCTGTTCCCCAACAAGAAAGGAGAAAGTACATATGTTCCTCATGATGCAGAGAAACACTGAATTCAGACACAGCCAGGCTAAACCTTTGAACAGAATTGATCAAGTTTTTAATCAACAGCTTTTTCCCCCACTCACCTGAGTGGATGGTTGAATTACTGATCAGTTGTGTCAGTTCTTTTGAGTAAGTGATCTGAATCACGTTCTGCATCCTAGCATAGCCACAGACCATGTGCAAAATAAGGAGATCACTCAAGATGAGCTGCAAATTAAAGAGACCTATGAAAAGGCTTTTCTCTAGTAGACATGAAGCATAGCTTTTGTTTCTGAACGTGATTGTTTTGGATGTATTTCCAGGCATGGCGTATGCTCTACTAGCTGCTGTTCCTGTCGGATACGGTCTCTACTCTGCTTTTTTCCCTATCCTGACCTACTTTATTTTTGGAACGTCAAGACACATCTCAGTTGGTAATTATAAGCATATACAATTCTGTTTGTTCACATTGAACGTGTTTGGGCTATATTACGTGTGTTCTGCTTCCATATCTTTGTTACTGTTTTCTAGCAAGATAGGGCTTTTCCTCTTCAGTGATGCAAAGGTTTCTTCTTAGCTTTCAAAATACTATGCTGTCAGGTAGCTTTACACCTAACTTTTTTTATAATGAAGAGGAGAAAATTGAAAGATGGTTAAAAAAGTATAGACTACCTTCAAATCTTAGCATGTTTGGCTTTTCAAAAATGTTAATACATTTGACTCTACTTAGAAAGTGTTCTAAAATGAAACATGATAAGGGAAAATAATCTTCAAGAGGTCTTTGAACCTGTTTTACTAGATTAAATTAGTTGTACTAAATTATGTTCATCAAATACATATTCATTGTCTTATTAAAGAACGTAGTTATTTTAAGTCACTAATATTTGAAGACTGGGAAAATTGTGCCAAAACAATTTAGAAACTAAGCTTGGCTTTCCTTCTTGATATAGCCCCAAATAGATTTATTTCCTGATGTTCCTAAAATTTGAATTTTCTTCTGCTAGAATGTTCTAGTAAATGAATGTCTTAATGCTATTTTGCAACGTTGACATTTATGCTTGAGATAAGTTTTCGCCTACATCCATCTGCTGGCTAGACATGCCTACCTGGGCAATCCTCTTGAAACAAATAGAGCCATCTACTGCTCTGTCTCCAATCCTTATCTTTATCCTTAGTTGTATAGTATTTCCTCCAGTGTCTGGAATATTTCCTTGTCTATAAAGGGAGATCAGGAGGAGATTATTGATTAAAGAGCTCCCTTACCTGGGAGAGTTTATTAGTACAAAATGCATGACAAGGTAAGGAACATGGGAGTTGATTTTTTTTCTCTCTGGTATTCTATACATTTAGACACTTCAGGTTACTGGATTTTAGTACTGAGTCCTTCTAACTGGTAAAGCCTTCCATGATCAAAGGGTAGGATCCTCATCATCATAGATAAAAATATCAGTAGTGATAGAGCAGCTGCTGAAAGAAAAGTACTTTTGAAACATAGACTCCTATAGAGTGATTTTGATATGAAAAAATAATTTGTCTTGGAAAAAGAGAAACTCTACACTACCTTTGCTATTTTTTTAATTTGTTTTTTACTTTAGCTATTTCTTTAACCAAATTTTGACCTTGTGATATTGATCAAGGTCCTCAGCTCCACAGAGACCAGGACACTGGATGCTCTAGGAAATGAACTTACGTGGAATAAAAATAAGATGGAACAAGTAAGGATTCAGCTAATATACCATTTCTGCCGGGAAGCTTTTCTTGACAACTCCCCCTTCCACCCCCCTGTTCCCACCCATACACAAGAAGATCACACACAGTTTAGACAGCCTTCCTGTGTACTTATAAAGTGTCCGAAAACTGTGTTATAGTGATCCACCTGCACATCTCTCTTGCTCATTACTGGGTCATGAATGCCTTGAAACAACTGCTTTTTAGCTTCTTTTGTGAACAAACAGTATTTTCCCAATCACAGCTAATTACTTCAGATGCATCTTTAATCCTGTTAGACATGTTGAACCTAAACATTTGCAGTTAATAATAATTATTATTTTTTAGTTTTTTTATGGAAGTATAAAGTTTTTTATGGACGTGCTTAATAATTATTAATTGATAATGACTTTTTCCCCCCAGGACCTTTCCCAGTGGTCAGTTTAATGGTGGGCTCTGTTGTTCTGAGCATGGCCCCCGACGAACACTTTCTCGTATCCAGCAGTAACGGAACTGCACTGAATACCACCGTGATAGACTTTGCAGCTAGAGATGCAGCAAGAGTATTGATTGCAAGCACCCTTACTCTTTTGGTTGGAATCATACAGGTAATGGGCTTACAAGCGATATACAGGTTGACAGAATTTGTATCTGAAAGAACTGTTAAGCATGTGGACTTAAAGATTCATTTAAAAGCAAAATAAATCACTTTAAGACTCTCAAAGCTATTTTTTAAGTTATACTGTTTTAGGTCAGATGCTAAAATAGTCAGCAAGCCGCCACTTATTAAAGCTCACTTAGTCATCAAAGTCAGAGAAAAGAAGACAGAGGAACATGTGTGATTAGAATGAGAATAGGAAAAGGGAGTTGTGCCAGAACCCATAAAGAGACAAAAAATATTCTGGTCACTGGAGCCATGAAACCTAAAGTTACAGGGAAAAAACCTACATGAATTTTTCTTATTATATATCTAGAAACACTTTAAGGTTCATAGTACACATGGTTTTCAAATTTAGAATGGTGGATGGGAGAGATAGGGCCAGAGTTTTAGTTGGTACTAAGTTTAATTCATTAATAATTCAAAAGTGTTGGTCCTTCTCCCAGGCAAGCGTTTAATTTTTCCTTCCTTCTTGTTCTAGTTGGTATTTGGAGGTTTGCAGGTTGGATTCATAGTGAGGTATCTGGCAGATCCTCTAGTTGGTGGATTCACAACAGCTGCTGCCTTCCAAGTATTGGTCTCACAGCTAAAGATCGTCCTCAATGTTTCAACCAAAAACTATAACGGAATTCTCTCCATCGTCTATGTAAGTGTTGCTTCTCTGCAGGGATGGCTGACTTTTCCTGTTGAACCTGAGTCTGCAGAGTATAAGCTCCTCCATGCCCTGCTTTGGGAGCCATTGAAAACATTCTTCTCTGAAAGAAGCAGTAGCATCAGGAGTTACATTGAAGAAGGCAGAGTTTGCAAATCATTGTTTTCAGTGGGTCAATATGGTTTCAGAAGTGTTGTCAATCTTCAAAACATTAATAAAAGCAAAGTTTTATACTGAAGACTAGTTTGGGAGGCCTCACACTTGAATTGCATTCTCAACTTTGCTTCTCACAAGCTAAGTGACCTTGGACACAGGGTGTAGGATAGTGGCTGAAAACTCAGTTTGGATGACCAAGATTCACATATATCCTGACTCTATTATTTATTATTTGCTCTATTGCATGAGCAAACTGCTATGCCTCAACTTCCTTCCCTGCAAATGGAGTTGGTAATAATATATACAAATTAAATTAAATAAGGCTGTATGAGAAGCCCATGGTCTAGGGGCTGGCGAATAGCAAAGTACTCAAAAAAAGAGTGTTACTTTGAGGGGCTTTCCTGGCGATCCGTAGGTTAAGACTCTGTGCCTATACTGCAGGGAAGGTGGGTACAATCTCTGGTTGGGGAACTAAGCTGAAATTGTTTATTATTTCACATCTCAGGACTTCTTTCCTTTTTTATTTATAAAGTGAAATGATTGGAGATGTATCTCTAAAGCCTTTTTTAACTCTGAGAGTCCATAAAATGCATAATGTAAATGTCCCAGCAATTATAGATGAAAAGGGATGTTAGATTCGGAGATGATTCAACATGCAAAAGAGATGCAAAAGAAGGATGTATTTCACACTAATTAGATTTGAAAAAGTTCTTGGATCTAAATATGTGTTCTATATAGAGCATATTATCGATGCTTGAAAAATGGTGATAATAGTAACATGATGTCACCCTAGCATAGGGAGAATGATACCAAATACAATGTGCTAGCATTAGAATGGAGTCCTTTAATGACCCATGTATTCTAATGACCTTTAATTTCTTTAATAATCCATGTAGCTTTTAAAATGAGGTAAGGCTGTGCATACCTACCTAAAAATCAGTGAGGTGGTCAAGGGTTTGCTGAAGTTTGCAGCATTGCAGTAGTTCCATTCAACATTAGCATTACTTTATCCATTCAACAAATGTTACCAAGTGTCTATTATGAGCCAGATATCATGCTGAGCAGTGGGACTAGATGCATACTTGCTCAATAGCTCAGTTATCCCTGACTCTTTGCAACCCTTTGAACTGTAGCTTACCAGGCTCCTCAGTCCATGGGATTTCCTAGGCAAGAATACTGCAGTGGGTTGCCATTTCCTCCTCCAGAGGATTGTCCCAATCCAGGGATCAAGCCTGCATCTCCTGTGTCTCCTGCATTGCAGGTGGATTCTTTACCTGCTGAGCCATTGGAGAAGCCCGAGGTGGAGGCTAGGCTACCTAGCCCTAGGACTAGGTAGAGGAGGCAGTTTAACATAGTGATTAAGACTATGGACTTTAGAGTCTTGGTTCTACCACTTATGATCCTATGATTAAATATGATGTGATTCTGGGCATGTCATATTTGACTTCTTTTTCCCTGCCAAGTCCTAGGTTTGCTTTGAGATCATCTGACTGACTTTTTCTGACAGGTTATCTCACTTTTGCAGTCTCTATGTACTGTGGTTTTTGTTGTTATTGTTTGTTTTTTGCTTTCTTACTTTCTCTATCAACTGTTCGTTCATTTATCCCTTTATTGTCATCCATTCATCTTTTCAATAAGTATTTATTGAAGCCTACCATGTGCCAGGGACTTTTCAGTCCTTGTACAAACCCACTGACTCCTGAATCCACCAAGACACCCCTGACTGAGTGTGCTCACCTCCTTGTTTGAACATTGCTAGGCCTGCATCCTCACAGATTACAGGAGGCCTAGCCTGATAGGTAATCTGGGTCCTTGTTCACTGTTGGACTTCTGAAGATGGGGGAAATGAAATTTCACAGTTTTTCTGGTCTCTTAGGACATGTTTAAGATAAAGCTTGCTGCAAATAACCCCACTTTCAACAGAGACCAAAATAAACTGGGAAACGCTAGATAGAACAAGGTCAAAAGTAGTTATTAAACTATTATGTGCCTTATGTTGTGTTGAACATTATTCTTGAAGCTTCACGTTAGAATGGGTTAGAGAATTCTGCAAGCCATTCCTTCCAGGTCAGCCAAGTTGGATAAAGATACTTCAATCATCCTTGTGTGAGGGTGAATATAAGCTTGCTTTTCTGAAAAAAGAAGAAACAGCAGGTCTGGAAATAATTGCTTAAGGATTGAATGAGCCTCTCAGTACCTGAACAGAGAATTCTGCTTATGATATTACCAGTTGTGACTATTCATGAAAGAATCCTTCAACAAACGCAGGGCATTGTGGATTCCTCCAGGAAAGACTGTAAGATTGTTGTAAGATGGATTTCCCTGGAACGGAGTTAACATCCCTTTTGTTGTAAACTTATGCTTTGGATCATCTGCCTGCTCCTCTCTTGAAAAAAAAAGAAAAAGGAAATAATGAATATAAATAATTAGAGGAGGAAATAATGGAAAAGAAAGAAAAACAGAAACTTCAGTTTACAAATGCCAGAGATGCTGGGTATAGGATGCAGAAGGGAGGGACTTCCCTAGTGGTCCAGTGGTTAAGATTCCATGTCCCCAGTTCAGAGGGCACAGGTTCTATCCCTGGTTGGGAAACTAAGATCCCACATGCTGTGTGGCAAAAAAAAAAAAAAAAAGATAGAGGCTACAAAAGGAAAATGACAAGGTGCTGGCAGAATTCAGAATTAGTAATGCTCAAGCTACTGTGTAGCTACTCAGTTATGTAAGTAAATCATGCAGTCCATTTCAAAGTGGTTATGTTTTCCTACCATTCACTCTGAATGGTTTGTCTTGATAGACAAGGGAAGTCTTTCTGCTTGCTGACTAAATTGGCTCTGTGTCCCCATTTCTTCCCTAACGAGAAGGAAGACCACATTGAAAAGTTCTGCCCAGATGGTGAGAGTTTTGAAAGCTACCCCCAAGCTTGATCAGATTCGTTATTTAGAACCTATTTCCGTATGTAAAAATGAAGCCATTATAAAACAAAAGTAACACTTTAAGGGCTGATCTTATATATGCACAGAAGTTCTGGTGGGAGGAAATTCCTGACAGCAAGGGGTTTGTTATATTCTTAGAGACAAGATGAATTAAAATAAATTTGGCACCAAAAGTTAACTAATGATTTTCTTCATATGTAATACAGGTATAATTTTTAACTTATGGCTTCATATACCCAGTAGGAAGAAATTCTTTAAATGAAATGGTTCTAAAATTCTCCAAGCATAGTAGGAAATATAATAAAATATCCATTTCTGAAAAGTTTTATTATCTTGATTTGCCTGGTCAGAATACTAGGCTGAAATATGGAATTGTAAGTGTATCCATATTTTAAACATATTTTAGTTAGTATTTTAATTTAATTTATTAAAATATTAATAAGTTAGAGTTACTTTTCAGTGCTTTCTTGTCTCATTTCTGTATCTTGGAGTATTAATACAAACTGACTACTTCAGTTTATGTGAGTTGGTTTTATTTCCACATATATTAAGCTTTCTTTTGTATAACTTTTCATAAGAGATTCTGAATAAATATTCAATATAGGCAACTGATATATTCATAAGCTTGTTTGATGTAATTGTGTAATGTAAACTGATTTTTGTTTTTGTAACTCACATTAATTTATTTTATTTTTTTCATATTACATTTTTAATACAGTCACAGGTGCTTTTTATTCAAAGGTCTAAGTGAGTCTCATAGATTACATGAGAATCCTATAGTGATCATTTTTGTAAGGTGAAAATTTTTAGGATTGGGATAGTTGTTCATATTGTTCTTAAGTTTGAATTTTTCCATCTTGTGTTGAAAGTAAACCTTTATTGTGTAGACAGTTAATTGAAGTATTATGTTTAGCTCATGAACTAATGAGGGTCATCATCAGGAAATTTGATTATATAAAGAACTGGATAGCAATACCTTGAAGACTACGTTATTTAGGGCTGTGTACTACTATGGTGTGCACACGTGTGCTAAGTTGCTTTAGTCGTGTCTGACTCTTTTTGACCTGATGGACGATAGCCGGCCAGGTTCCTCTGACCATGGGATTCTCCAGGCTAGAATACTGGAGTGGGTGGCCATTTCCTCCTCCAGTGGATCTTCCTGACTAGGGAATTGAACCCATGTCTCTTATTCTCTTGCATTGGCAGGAGGGTTCTTTACTACTAGCACTACCTGGGAAGCCTGTACTGCTCTGGTAGATGCCTTAAATTCTTGAGTTGTTGTGTCTGCTTGTATAGTTTCTGATTTGTTTTCTTTTTCACCTTGCTATCACTGGCTTCATCTTGTTACTATCAATGTATCTGCCTCTAGCAATTTTTACTGACTCTGGAAAGTGTTCAAAGTAAACATGCTAGTATTGGGTTTAAAGCAAGGACAAAAATACTCAGTGAAAATCCAAGAGGCTTCCCACAAATCAGATTCTTGAACTCTAGTTCAAGCACTTGGTGGAATGTATTTTGCTTACACAATGGCTTGTTCTCTCATCCCCTTACTCTTGAACGTTTTCCAAAGAATGAGGTTGCTGGCAAGATGACTCTGACGTTACCTGTTGATCACTATACCTAATTGTTACCAGATTGTTGTTATAATTATTTGAAGTAATATTTTATCTTCATTTAAAATATATATCTATAAAAGGACTCATTCAAGGGAAAGTAACCTTCACTGGGAGATTACTTGTCTGGAAGAACCTTCTAAAGTCATGCCTTCTATGGAAGTTCCTATAACAAAGGTATTAGTGTTCTCCCTTGAGATTCTTCCTTGCTAATCTCCTTTGATTCCCAGAAATCACCTATTTACAAAACAAAGCTAATTTTTCTTGAGCTGGATTGTTATGTCCACTTGGAAAGAGTTCAGTTCAGTTCAGTTCAGTTGCTCAGTCATGTGCCACTCTTTGCAACCCCATGGACTGCAGCACGCCAGGCCTCCCTGTCCATCACCAACTCCCGGAGCTTACCCAAACTCATGTCCATTGAGTCGGTGATGCCATCCAACCATATCATCCTCTGTTGTCCCCTTCTCCTGCCTTCAATCTTTCCCAGCATCAGGGTCTTTTCAAATGAGTCAGTTCTTCACATCAGCTGACCAAAATATTGGAGTTTCAGCTTCAACATCAGTCCTTCCAATGAACACCCAGGACTGATCTCTTTTAGGATGGACTGGTTGGATCTCCTTGCAGTCCAAAGGACTCTCAAGAGTCTTCTCCAACACCACAGTTCAAAAGCATGAATTCTTCGGTGCTCAGCTTTCTTTATAGTCCAACTCTCACATCCATACATGACTATTGGAGAAACCATAGCCTTGACTAGACAGACCTTTGCTGACAAAGTAATGTCTCTGCTTTTTAATATGCTGTCTAGGTTGAGCATAACTTTCCTTCCAAGGAGCAAGCGTCTTTTAATTTCATGGCTGCAATCACCATCTGCAGTGATTTTGGAGGTCCAAAAAATAAAGTCAGCCACTGTTTCCACTGTTTCCACATCTATTTGCCATGAAGTGATGGGACCAGATCACTAAGATCCTTTGCCATGATCTTGGTTTTCTGAATGTTGAGCTTTAAGCCAACTTTTTCACGCTCCTTTTTCACTTTCATCAAGAGGCTCTTTAGTTCCTCTTCACTTTCTGCCATGAGGTGGTGTCATCTGCACATCTGAGGTTATTGATATTTCTCCCGGCAATCTTGATTCCAGCCTGTGCTTCTTCCAGCCCAGCGTTTCTCATGATGTACTCTGCATATAAGTTAAATAAGCAGGGTGACAATATACAGCCTTGACGTACTCCTTTTCCTATTTGGAACCAGTCTGTTGTTCCATGTCCAGTTCTAACTGTTGCTTCCTGACCTGTATACAGGTTTCTCAAGAGTCAGGTCAAGTGGTCTGGTATTCCCATCTCTTTCAGAATTTTCCAGTTTATTGTCATCCACACAGTCAAAGGCTTTGACATAGTCAATAAAGCAGAAATAGATGTTTTTCTGGAACTCTCTTGCTTTTTTTTTTTTTTTGAAAGAGTTAGTTTTATTTAAATGATCATAGTTCAAGTTTGAACTAAGTACCAAATTAATTTCCAAAAATTTCTATTTGACCTATATATCAATTCAATAGCTTTTCTTTGTCATAAAGAATGGACGAAAAAAAAAGAATGGACGAGTCAATATGTATCTACATATGAAGAATTTTAGGAATTTTTATTAACATCTGTATCATTCATGTTTAGTGAAGAGTTTTACCTAAAATATTGGTTAACCAGGACTTCTGATTTCTGTTTTTAATCTCAATAATACATATCAACATGATGAAAATTAGGTAACTTAGTAGCACCTGTAAAGCTACTTAAGGTATAAACTTTTAAAGCTTTTCTGCAAGCAAAAGACAGTATATAATGATATATTTTATTTTAAAATGTCTCATTTTTATTCGAAAAAATAGATAAGCTAAAATAAGAAAGCAGAAATCACCCATACTTTTGCCACTCCAAGTTAACCATCATTAGTAACTTGGTATTTATATTACAAGGGTTAGACATTAATGGTGTCTGTATTAACAAACACAAATTAAAATTTTTTAAATTTTACATGAAATTCTTAAGTGCTCTTTGATGATGATATGATTTTTCATACAGGAGGTATATGAAATTATTTTTTTTACAGACACTGATTGAGATTTTTCAAAATATTGGTAACACTAATCTTGCTGATTTCATTGCTGGCTTACTCACCATTATCATCTGTATGGCGGTTAAGGAATTAAATGATCGATTTAAACACAAAATCCCAGTCCCTATTCCTATAGAAGTGATTGTGGTAAGTAGAATGTGTAATTAGAAAATTCAGCATTAATTAGCTTTGTAAGAAAGGAACTGTTCAAACAAATGAACTCTTTTAAAACCTCTTTTATTTCAGACAATAGCAGCTACTGCCATTTCATATGGAGTTGACCTGCAAAAAAATTATAATGCTGGCATTGTTAAATCCATCCCAAGTGGGTGAGTATGGAGTTCCTCTTAGGCATTAATAATAAATTGTCAGTACCTCCTATTTAAATGAAACAAGCTTCATTTCACTGGTGGTCCTTCAATAGTCTCATGTGTATTATCTTAAAGAAATATCCCATTTGTGCAAACTATCAGCTAAAGATCAAGTCATTTGTTTAAAAGCAGCACTATATGCTCTGTCTTTTTCTTTACACTCTTAAAACATGGCAGGACATGCACAGTTAACTCCAGACCCCTGATTTAAACTCACATATACAATTACAGTATAAGCAGAATCATGGTGTGTAACGCTTATTGTACTGAGAACAATCTGCTTAAAGAAAAAGGGAGATTTAGCCTAAATTCTCTTCCATATAATCAGCTTAAGATAATAATTATATCATTTGTTCCTATAAATAAAATGGATGATCTTTAAGGAAGGTTTGCTATTTTGGTAGTTTGGTGAATTAAAAGAGTAAGGAACTAGGAGTCTTGTCCTCTGTCGCCATCTAGTTCTGTGGCGCTGGGGCGGAGGGGGCTTCTCCTATAGTCTAAGTATGAGCCGTTCAGTTGTGTCTGACTCTTTGCGACCCTGTGATTGTAGTCCACCAGGCTCCTCTGTCCATAGAGGTCTCCAGGCAAGAATACTGGAGTGTGTTGCCATTCCCTTTTCCAGGGGATCTTCCTGATTAGGGGATCAAACCCAGGTCTCCTGCATTGCAGGCTGATTCTTTATCATTTGAGCCAGCAACACAAAGATGGTGACAAACCACTGAAATCTCAACCTCAGCTTCTTGTAAAACACCAGTGAGATCCCTCATAAAGTGCAGAGTGAACCAAGGGCCCTACAGCGTAATTTGATCGTATGACAGAGAAAAAGAAACACAAATGTTTATTAGATTTGTAACATTAACTTACAGCATTCGTGACTAGACTTGCTATTAGATGACCAAGTGAGTACTGGTTTCTCTTCCATTAAATACTAGCTGAGGGACCTGTAACACTCTGTTTTTCATGCCCTTAATAGAAATTCCTCAGGCCAGGCCAGCCCCGGGGCTTATTCCACAGGGAACTGCTGCCTTGACATTAGATTAATTGTATGATTTCTTCTAATCTATTTAAAAAAAGGAAAGAAAAGTTACAACTGGCTACATGGGGCTTAATTTATGTATCATCCATTCCAGTGTTTCAAAAACTCACTTTTTTCTAAGAATTACGCAAGGCCTTGTTAACACAAATTCCTTCCTGGTTCTCATCCTAAACCTAATTAATATTTTTCAAAGGGGCTTCACATGATTCTAATGATTAGTAAGTTTGGGAAACTTTACATTAGAGGATCAACATTTTGATAGTGAATCCTAATGCTGGTATAAATTTAGTAATAAAAAGATGCGGTGTGGCTACTCGAGTTACAGTGTTTTCACCCTAACAACTAGATTATTTGAGTAGTTTCAAATAGCTACATTAAAAATATATTTTATAGATCCACGTTGTCAGGTTTCCTCAGTATAACTCTTAGAGGAGGTACAAGGCAAATGCCCTGTCCCCTAAGTCCATGTTCTATTACTAGATTTTGGGCACTCCCTTTTGCTGCCACAAGTGATCCTTTCTGGCCCTATCAAGAGATTTCATGGATGCTCTCCTGCTGAAAATGGATCTCTAGCCTCTTGCTGTTGGGTTAGTCAAGTTGAATGCTCTGACAGACCGTTTGTTGTGATTGGTCAGTCTGCCTCACCCCGGGATATATATAAGCTCTTCCCCAAGGGTACTCATCTCACTTGTCGTGTTCAGCTTTTTGATACCCCAGAAATGAGTATAATAACATTAACAAGCACTGGAAAAGAAAGCATGATATGGAGATTGGAAAAGGGCAAGGAAAGGAGCGTGGGATGAGTAGGACGAAATGAAGAGGAACAAAAGAATGATTGTGGAACTTCCCTGACAGTCCAATGGTTAAGACCCCCTCACTTTCAATGCAGGGGGCGTGGGTTCTATGCCTGGTCAGGAAACTAAGATGCCACATGCTGTGTGGCACAGCCGAAACAAAACAAAAAAGATATAGATTGTGCCAGCCCACTTCTTCATCTCCTCTCCATGTCAATCCCCCAATAAGGGAGTAAAAGCACAGCCATTACTGGCAGTTTTCTTTAATCCCATTGAGAGTCCATGCCATCTGTCAGTATTGCTCAGTGTCCAAGGACACCGTCCCCCAAACCATAACCACTTGCCCTATTCCCCTACTGCCTTTCTTGGTCAAATATGCGATTTCTCCAAGTGTGGTCAGCTTCTGAGCGTCTCACTGGGATTCACCCAAACCAGGACCCCCTATTCTCTCACTAATTCTTTTTCTTAACCAGCAAGCTCTAAGAGGGCGAATCAGATCTGGTTACTCAGGAAATCATCCACTGTCTAACATTCACACTCGGACCCACTAAATACTTCACTCTTCTGGGCCTCAGTTCCCTCATCAACAAAAAGAGAAAGGTAGATTCAACAATTACAAGGATATTAGATTTAGGATAATACTTTGGATAATATTAAGATATTAGCAGGTTCTAGATTTCTATGGCTTTCTATAAAAACCTTATTTCTACATTACCACTTCCAGCTATAGGGGAAAAAAGTGTGGTTTCCTATGAAAGGAGCTTCAGATATGAGGTCGGTCAGGGATTTTTTTTTTTTTTTGCCAGAGAACTGGCCATATGGATAATCATTAAGATGCAGGCACAAGAAAGGAATCCTTTCTGATGTTCATACTTGGGGATGATTTCATACTTATAAGCTTGTAGATTTATTTCTTTATATGGTTGGTGAGTAGCTTTGGTTTTGTCAAATAGTAACTGTTTGATCCCACAACTATAGTGACTGTGGAGCATTCTGATAACCATATACATTTAATCTTTTGGGGGTACTCAAGAAGATTTTAAGTATCATGGCTCTTCGATAAGGATTTTCCACTTCGCTGTTTTAGCATCTTACATTCTTTGTCTCTGTAACTGACCTGACCACTTCTTGTACAGGGTAAATCTCTTTAATGGCTAGGATATCAAAGACCTCTGAAATGAAATTGTAAGGAGAAACACTAACGTATGAGATGGTGCAGCATAGAATTATGTGGTATTAAAAAATCAGTAATGACAGGTTTCTTCTTGTCAGAGTGTGGATAAGGCAGCATCCATAATCTCTCAAATAGGGGACAAAGGAATCAGCCAGTGAGATAGCACCAGCTTCTGACTGAAAACTGTAAAAGCAGGTGCTACTACTTATCCATCTTACGTACCTCTTGTTCTCTTGGATTGAATTCTTTCATGTCTGACTTGTGGCTGGGTTGATGCAGCATTTGGTGAGGTGGGGGAAGAGCATTGTAGTCAAATTGTCACAACATTTTTCATTTAAAAACTAGGTTTTTGCCTCCAGCGATGCCATCTGTGAGTCTGTTTTCTGAGATGCTGACTGCATCATTTTCCATCTCTGTGGTCGCTTATGCCATTGCAGTGTCTGTGGGAAAAGTATACGCCATCAAGCATGATTACACCATCGATGGGAATCAGGTATGGTCACCCTTTTGCTGAACTGGTTTGTAGGACTGAAACTAAGAAGAAAATGTGGGAAAGACTTTGTTGTCTGTTAAAGAAGGGATTGGTTTCTCCCATCCATCTTTACTGAGTTGGTTTCTCTCCTGCATGTGCTAATTTGAAGTTATTTTGAAATATGCTTGCTGTATCACTTCATTTTAAAAATATATTTTGTTGTTTATATATCCATATTTTATTAAATATCTGAAAGATAAGAATGTAAAAAAAACATAAGCATGATATACCATTATATTTTTAAAAATAGTAGCTATAATTCCATAATATCATCTAATATCCAGTCAGTTTTTAGGTAGATAACCACAATATCATTATCACAACTAAAAAGATGAATAATAATTCTTTAATAACATTAACTATCTAGTCATGATTTGTTTGGCTAAATATCCAAAAAAGCTCCACGTGTTATATTAGCTAGATAGATCTCTTTTTTATTTTACATTTTTCAAAGATTTATTTTTTTAATTGAGGTATAGTTGATGTACTATATTATATAAGTTTCAGGTATGCAACATAGCAATTCACAAGCTTTAAAGCTTATACTCCATTTATGGTTCTTAGAAAATAATTGGCTATATTCCCTGTGCTGTATGCATCACTTTACCTTTTAAGAAAAAAGTCAAAGTAATCCTAATTTTTAAAAAGTTAATTCAGTTAGGTCCTAACATAAGCTTAACATATTAAGAGCAAGTTGGAATAAGAATTCTTCATGTAATCTAGTATCTCCTGGTAATTAAAAACAATATTTTTCTTGGTAATTTTTTTAAAGGCAGCTATAATATGGCAAAAGATTACCACAAACATCAATGATAATAGTTGTGACCACTTTAAACTGAGGTAGTTCACTGTGCAATTAATTGCAGGTTTCCCCCATATCCAAAAGTAGAGAGTTCCTATGAAAATCTTCTTAAGATGAAATGGCAGTAAAGTTAAGAAACAGTTACCTTAAGACACATCTTGCAAACAGATGCACAAAATACACTGAGATGAACAGGTGCTTACAAACACAGTTCAGAGCAATGGCGGCTCCATGCTGAGATGCTGAGATGCTGAGTGTAGTTTCCCAGGAAGGAGCGTGGTGCTGCCACTCTCTGCTTGGGGAGCATGCTGCCTCTATTAGGGGTTGCTGCAAAAACAAACATTTTTTGCCCTTTTTTATAATAGCAAAAATTCTCTTGAGATTTCTTTGTGTTAGCAAAAACAGGTAACTAACTTAGATGGGTCTTTTATAAAAGCCAAGTGGTGTAAAGCAAACTTTTGAAAAGCAGGGGATACCAGTAACAGATACAAGATGGGTTTTGTAGCATCTGATCCATTACCACGCTGATTTTCCACTGCTTGCAAATCTGCAAGCCTGGTTTGTATCTATAAACACAGCATAGCAATTACAGTAATTAAATGATTAGCCATCAGAATAATCATTCTCCAAGTCATAATATACTTCCTAGCAAATATCCAACCTCAGAAAAAATATTTTATGTGAGAGTTACAGATAGGCCACTCATCAAGAAGTAAGATAAAGCATTTCAGCAAAAGATAAGTCAATCTTTCAGAACAGTTGAGAGCAGTGAAGCCTCTCTTAGGCTTTATGGAGCCCAGATTCCACGTGTCTTTCAAGGTCTCCAAGCACCTTTAATGGTAAGAATTAAACTGGGACTCCCAGGCAGGCTGGGCTTGGGAGTTTGCCTTCTTAATGCTCTTTGCTTGATGAGAGTCTTCCAAAGATTTAATTTGTAGCATCACTACCATTCATTCTCTCTCTCTCAGGAATTCATCGCCTTTGGAATCAGCAACATCTTCTCTGGATTATTCTCTTGCTTTGTGGCTACCACTGCCCTGTCCCGCACCGCTGTCCAGGAGAGTACTGGGGGAAAGACACAGGTATGGGGCGGCGGTGTGGTCATATCCATCTAGAATGATGTAAAGAATGAATCAGGGGAATGGTGGCTCAGAAAGGCTTGCACAAGAACTCAGTATGATTAGCCTTTGAGAAAAGTAAAACTTGCACATCCCATTCTGATTCCATCTGGGACCTCTCCATCTCTGTGACGATGATCTACCCCCTCCCTGTAAACCTCTCTTTATAGTTTTTTTTTTTTTTTTTTTGGTTTAGTATGGTTTATTAAGCTGTGCCTGCCAGGCACTAGATCAGGCAGATCATGCTCTTATTCATTTTTATTCACCAACACCTCTGTACTACTTTCTGCGTACTAGCGGAGAGAGAGAGCATGCATGCTCACTGTGTTCTACTCTTTGTGACCCCCCATGGACTGTAGCCCACCAGGCTTCTCTGTCCATGGGATTTCCCAGGCAAGAATACTGGAGTGGGCTGCCATTTCTTTCTCCACTCTTTATAGTTTTATGATGCAGTAAGTCTCAAACCTTTTTGTGTCGTTGCCCAGCTGGCAGATAGCGCCACTTACTTGCTTTTGCAGGGATGATAGCAGTTGATAATGAAGGTGCTGATTTTTTTCTATTTGTTATCTGGGAATAGAGAAGGCCTAGTAAAATCTCTTTGTGGCTTAGTGAGTTATTCTGTTTTCAGGAAAATGAAAAGCTGTCTATTTACATTTCCTTTACCAAGGATCAGGAGCTTCCTCCAGAGGCCTTGCGTCCGACAGAACCACGGTTTGCTAGCTAAGCATATTTCTGTTAAACACTTTGCCATTTCTTCCTAAGAAAGACTTTTGTTCTTGAAGTTCTGAATGTGGGTTTGATCTTGCCTTTAACTGTGATTTTAAGTTGTGGCCTTCCCCCAAACCAGCATCCCAGTTAATCTCTGGAAAACTCCTCCTTCACTAGGCCAGATAGCTCAGGATCTGTACTCAGGCCATCCTTTTCAGCAGGACATGAGTCAGCTATGCCAAACCAAATGGATCGGGGTGAGGGGCAGGCTCAGGGATTGTGTTTCTGTTATGCCTGGGGAGTTTTCTCCTCCCAACACAGAAAGAACTATTATTTAAGAGTAAATAGTATTTTGAGACTATAAGGAGCAACAATTCAAAGTAAATAGTTTAGCACACACAGTCTTCAAATAGGATTTTTTTCCAGGTAGAGATGCAAATAAATGTAAAAAAGAGAGTAACTGAGAAAATGAATGACTCCAACAGTGAGTGGTTCAGGGAGTTTGAATTGTCTCCAAGATGCTCATGATGCTCCTTTCCCATTCATAACAGATCTTTGTGACAGAGTCAGAGGAATTGGCCTTCTCCAATTTCTTGGCTCCCGATGAACAAACATTTACTTTTAATTTTCAGAATTACTCTATTTAAGACTGTTTCCTTCTCCATTTTTCTGAAAACACTTCTAGCTCTGAGACAGCAAATAAAACAATACAGCCTCAAGCAGGAAGCATAATCAGAGATCTGTGGTAAGGGGAAGAGGTTGGAGGTGATCGCCAAAGCTAGCAGTGAAGTTTTCTGCGGCTTCCACTGGACATGGAGACTTGACAAGCTCCCCAAGGCACATGGCTATAAGTGGGTGCAGGCAGATCCCCAAGAGCTGATGTTCACTGTCTGCTAACTCCAAGCTCAAATGGGGACAGCCCTCTCCCCTCTCCCTTCCCCCCAAGAATGCCCATGCAAAGTGATCCCTTGGCAGAAGGTTTGGGGATAATGGTGTTCTGGTAAGCTAATACCCCCTGCCACACACTGGCATGTATTATATTTAGGAATGAAGGATGCCAGGATTTTAGTACTGAACAATGAAACAAGCACAGAAATCACTTGGTATTTAATTACTGAAATGTATACTAAGTTCTGGGGTTAAAAGTCTAAGTGTCTGGACTAAAATCCAGGAACTAATGACCAACTAAACTGGCAAGTCCTCCCTTGTTGTTTGACTTTTCCTGGAGTTTTCATGTTGGAGCCTCAGTTTCAGAATCTATGCAATGGAAGGTAATCATTGTATTCACCTCACAGGGACACCGTATAGATTAAATAAGCAAATATTTCTAAAATTCTGGCACATATATGTTGACTGTTGATTGTTCCAGTCATTAAGTTCTCAAGGTAAGAATAATGCCTTAGTACCTATGACACATGCATTGTACCTGACACATAAGAAACATATATTTACTGAATGGATGGAATCATGAGTGTCAGTGGATACTATCAACTGTTTTCAGCACATCTATAGATGCTCAACATTGGCAACCTGTGCTTTCTCTCATCCCCATCTGGCTCCTAATGATTCATAAAAAAGTAATTCTGAGGACAAACTATTCTCTAGCCTGGTTATCCTCTCAGTTAACAGAAGAATTGTCTAGCAACTGAATCCGCTCATAGATACAAAATATATAGCATTTCCTGCCAAATAAGTAATTTTCCCTTATAAATTAAGTACAGGTAGTGGGCCCCCCCTGCAGATTTTAAAAATAGTAACCAAAATTAGTCTTGGCCCCCATAGTTGAGGGCTAATTATTCCCTATCCTTGGTGAGTAGGTGGCCATCCTCCTGGCATGAGTTGGGCAGCTGGCTTTGGTCCCTGTTCCCAAATCTCCATCTCTTTCTCCAATCCACAGAGCCCTACATCCACAGTGAAATGCAAGTGGCTCATGACAGACAATAAATATTGGTTAAGTAATTCCACAGAACTAAAGGAAGGAAAGAAAGGAGGGAAGGATGAAGGAAGGATACCGGATTCTCTGCTTAGATAGGAGAAGGGGGAAATCTCACTAAGATACTGGGAACCTGGATGTGTGGTGTTGCAAGATACAGATAACCTAGAAATGGGGATCTGGATGGACAGAACAGACTTTTCAGTATATCATATACATAATATGGCCTCAGGCTAGCCTAGCTATCCTCTGATCAATTTGCCAGATGGAGTAGATGAGTGTGGCTATTGCATTTCCTTACATTTTTGGATTTTTATTTGTATTGGCTTTATGTGTCTCCTTGAATGCAAACATCTTGCATTAGGCACTACCAGGGCCCAATACAACCTTCTCTACTGCTTCCTCTCTGCTCGTTTGGCTTCTGGCTCCCTCTCTCCTCTCCTTCATTTTAGAGTTTCTAGGCTTCACCTTGGCCAGGCCCCAGCTGTCTCAGCAGAGAATCCATTGGTCATCTAATCACACCACAGCATAGTCCCCACCCCCTCAGCTTCTGTCCTAGCTATTTGTGAATCTTGGGAGAGCTTTTCTGCCAGTGAAGGTAGTTTCTGAAGCTTCCTTTACTCCTGCTACTGGCCCCGTCACACGGGCTGCTGTAGGAGGATGCTGGTGACGTGGTCCTACCTCTCAACAGGCTCATGTGGTGTTTTTTAATCTGCAGGACTGGTGAATTTATTTTCTTAGAGATTATCATGACAACTGTGCCTGCAGAGTGTTATTAGGGTCATTATCAGGTTGCCGATTCCATAATGCAAAAGAATCAGTTATGTGCTATGAGAAGTTATTTCCCAAGAATGCTTCAAGGATCTGTTGTCCAGGAACAAGGATGGGCTGGGTTTCCTGGAATGACAAATGACTGGAAGATTGACCTCTTAAATTGACACCAGAAAAATAGAGGTCTGTCATGTATCCAAGTGCAATCAAGCCAAACTGGCTTTACTCTAGCAGACCTAGCCCCCACATTTTCTTTTAATTTCTCTGTCATAGCTACTAAATGTATTTAGTAGAGCCAATAATTCTTATTTCTGTCAACAGGACTGAGCAGAAGGAGGGAGGTGGGGAGCGTTGTGTGCCCGTGAACAGGCTCTTGCACACATGCGTGCAGCAAGCACACATTCAGAGTGGGAAGCACAGACCCTGACTATGGGAGATGTGTGTGTCTTTCAGATTGCCGGCATCATCTCAGCTGGGGTCGTGATGATCGCCATCGTTGCCCTGGGGAAGTTGCTGGAACCCCTGCAGAAGGTATAATCTTGCTTCTTGTCACACCGATTGCTTACTTTCCCTTCACTGCTCTGCTACCCAAGAAATAGCAGGGGATTTAAAAGTCATCACATGGCAAATCATTCCCCTGAATAACCCGGACTTCTCCATCTCTCCTGGCAGTCAGTCTTGGCAGCTGTTGTAATTGCCAACCTGAAGGGGATGTTTATGCAGGTGTGTGACGTTCCTCGTCTGTGGAGGCAGAATAAGACTGATGCTGTAAGTTGCTTGCCATCCTTTTTTTTTTTTCCTGAAATAGGGATTACTTATATGCTTCTTGCCATATTATTATGTCCCCTTATCCCCTGAGTCTTACTTGCATTTTGGGAAGCAGAGCAGAAATTAGAATTTTGTGGATAAGCCAAAACTGTGAAGTCTTCCACATGAGCTACAATTTGTGAAGGTCCTATATCTCTGGGAAGATCCACTTTATACAAGAATCCTGTATGAGCTCCTTCATATACTGCTGGCCTTCTAAAGCCAAAGAACAAATTAAAAAAAAAACAAAACCCTCTAATCTAGAAGGACAAATAAAACAAAACAAACCAGAAACAAAATGCAAAACCCCATGTTGATTATAATTTTGATTAAAGTAATCTTTACAACTCTTCTGAGGGATTGTAAAAACAAAGAAGAAGAAGCAGCAGCTAAACCCTTCAGAGTTCTGCTGTAATTTAAACCAGAACAGATAAAAAATTCCCTATATATCTGCATGGAAAGATCTCCAAGACAAACTGTTAAGTAAAAAGACACTGGTGCAAAATGGAAGAGTGTGTATAACACACTAAAAGAAGGGAAAATAATCTATGTTTTGCAGTGGTATTTGCCAAAAAAAAAAAAAATGCTGGTGAAAAATGTGCACCTGTGTACATACACACACACACAAAAATAAAGGAGGATGTAAGAGAGAAAAGAGGGTGGGAATGAATGGAGGAAGGAGAGGGTTGCAACCAAGATTTTTCACTGCACACCTTTTTGGTCACACCATGTTGCTTGCCGGATCTTAGTTCCCCGACCAGAATTCAAACCTGAAAGCCCCGCAGAGGGTGTGTGGAGTCTTAACCACTGGACCTCCAGGGAAGTGCCTCTGCATACCTTTTTAATACCAATTTTATTTTAAACTATGTTAATATAGTTTAAATCAGGGTTTCCCTGGTGGCTCAGTGGTAAAGAATATGCCTGCCAATGCAGGAAACGAGGGTTTGATCCCTGGGTGGTGAAGATCCCCTGGAGGAGGAAATGGCAACCCACTCTAGTATTCTTTCCTGGGGAATTCCATGGACAGAGGAACCCGGCGGGCTACAGTCAATGGGGTCACAAAGAGGTGGACATGACTCAGTGACTAAAACAACAATATATCACCTATTCAAAAATTAAATCTAAAAATATTTTAATGGGACAGTTGGCCTGTATTGGGAAGGCCAATTTCCACTTAAAATATGTAAAGACGTCAGAATATTTTACAAAGCTGTAATTTGTTCATGGACAATTGATCTTATTATTTTTACAGGTAGTCACTCACCTCATGATGAATTAGCATTTTTCATTTTCATGTTTTCCTAGGTTATCTGGGTATTTACGTGCATAGCATCCATCATTCTGGGATTGGACCTCGGTTTACTAGCTGGCCTTGTATTTGGATTTCTCACTGTGGTCCTGAGAGTTCAATTGTGAGTAATATAAGATCCAAGTTATCTATAAACAGGACAACACACCCTGAAATTTCTTATACAATTTTGATAAGTATAATAAAACTACTCCCTTTCACAGTAGTTACTATTTATTAGTGCTTCTACAAATTAAACATTATCATAATTAGTCTTCAAAAAATCCTGTGAATATGTTTTATTATTCTCATTTGATAGGTAAGATAATTGAAACTCAGTAGGTTAAGAACGTTACCTAAGATTACACAGCTAGTATGTTGCAGAGCCAGCATTTCAACCCAGATGTATCCCACCCCAAAATCTATGCACTTACTCACAGGCTCTACTGCCTTGTTCACCTCCAAGTCATGGTAAGACTAAAAGATACATGATCAGCAAAAGACTGAGGTTGCTGTGTAGTTTCTTTTTAAAATGAGATGAAGTCTAAGAGACATTGAGGACCCAAGTCTTGGGCCCAGATAGCTGCTGAATATATTACGGCTCATTTTCTTTTGAAGCTAGTAACCCAGGAGTTATGTAATAACCCAGAATAGGAAGCTTTAAGACAGTTGATTGTAGCCAAAATTCATTCAAATCTGCCAAATAAGGTATGTACCTAATAAGCCATACCAATAATGTAAAATAGATCCAATCAGGTCATCCAGAGAGTGAAAGCGGCAGAGACAAAGTTCAAAGTAATGGAAAACAATGTGAGGCAGCTTGGAGGTGTGTTTGTTTTGTTCGGACTCTTGAGAGGCCTTCGGTAGGTACCTTTCTATGTCTCTGGCATCTTCTGAACAGAGAGTCGAAGAGAGCATCTCTCAAAGCCTCTGCTATCTTCCCAGACTTCTGGCTCCTTCTTGGCCTAGCACTTGGGCCATGAAGGAATGAAAAACCTGGGTAAGCCTAACACACACAGATGTCTACAGCTTAGCCTAGGTCCACCTTTCCCATTCCACCAAGCAATTCTCCTTCCCTCCCCTGGCATGCTGGATCCTACCCAAAGGCTTGTGTTTACCATCCCAGCACCCTTAAGTGGTTGCCCAGGGGCCTGAAAGACTTCTCAAGCTCCCAAAACACCCAGTTTTCTTCTGGGAAACACCCCAGAAACTCTCCTTGGAACATGATGTCTTCTGCGCTCTGGCTGCCTCTGTATTTACTGTGACTTGTGTGTGATTGAGGGGGAGAAGGGTTTTTAGAGAAAGACTACAGTTTCTGAGCTTTAAGTTGAAAATCAGCAAGGCACAGTAAGCCAAGGAGAAATGGGTGAAACCCTTTACCTGCAGATTTGGTAATGAGGCTTTGAGCCAACCAAAAGCAGTATCCTCCCCAGGATTTAATTTCCAATAATTATAAGCCAGGTCCAGAGAGCACATTGCTGAGAGCACCCCAAACAGACATTCTTTCTTCAGGCATAGTATTTAGCATATGTTCCTAGTCACAGCTGAGGAATCCTGGAATTTATGTGATTGCATCAGGAACAGGAAATCAACAATCTGGTCCTCCCAGGCTCCTATTTCTATGAAATGAGACTAATTGGATCACTGCAGACTTTCCATACTTCAGAAAGTTGCTATAACTCACAAGGTAGTTCTAGGCATTGTGCCAGGCCATGAAGACCCACAGGTTAAAGATAGAGGCTGTGCTTCTCTTCCCTCCAGAGCCTTTTTGAACTTCTCTAAACCTCAGTTTACTCACCCTTAAAAATGAAGATAATACTGTTGATCATTCAGGGCTCAAATAAGATTTAACATGTGTGAAAGCTCTTTGCTTATCCTATAAAGTGCTACACATATGAAAGTATGATGCTCATTACTTCTTGCAGGCATTGGAAAAGAGGCGCACTTCCTTTTTTACCCCCAGGCTTACACAAATACCAGCTGTTCACTTCAGAGTTAGCTACCAGAAAATGTCATCTGCAATAAAGACAGAGTCCCAAGACATCCAAATTATGGGCTCTTTAGAATCTGTCATTTTTTTTCTAACGTTTTATTCCAAAATATGCCTGTTCCAAAAAATCCTGACCTCAATTTTTCTTCTTTTAGTCCATCTTGGAACAGCCTTGGAAGTATCCCTAGCACAGACATCTACAAAAGCACCAATAATTACAAAAATGTAAGTGCCCTTGGGAGCCACTGGCTGGACTTGGGTTTGCTAAGCTGGATTTTCAGAGGTTGCATAGTTCTCTTCTAGTGTGTTAGGGATAAGGTAGCCCAAAAGGGAGGCTACTTCTGTTGGGAAAGCCCACAGGTATAGTGGGCGTGTTAGGAAAACTTCTGTTCCAGTGTGCCCTCTGATATCCTGTGTGTCCTTAGTTGCTCAGCTGTGTCCAACCCTTTGTGACCCCATGGACTGCAGCCTGCTAGGCTCCTCTGTCCATGCGGATTCTCCAGGTAAGAATACTGGCGTGGGTTGCCATACCCTCCTCCAGGGGATCTTCCCCACCCAGGGGTTAAACCCAGGTCTCCCTCTTTGCAGGTGGATTCCTTAGTGTCTGAGCCCCCAGGGGAGCTCTCTGATAGGAATTTTGTTCATGCTAGTTAAGATGTCATTTTCATGTCAGACCACTGTTAAGAGGTATTTTTTTTTAAAACAGGCAATTCAATTATTCCCAAAAGTTGAATCAAAATTCTATTTCTCTGAGTGAATGGGGTCAAAAGACACAAAGTTCCAGGTATAAAATAAGCCATGGGGATGTAATATACAGTATGGCAACCAAAGTTAATAATACTATACAGCATGTCTCAAAGTTGCTAAGAGAGTAGATCTTAAAAAGTCCTTATTACACAAAAAATTTTGTAACTACATATTGTGACAGATGTTAACTAGACTTATAGTGGTGATCATTTTGCAATATATACAAATATCAGGTTGTACATATTATGTACAATGTGAACATATGAAACTAATATGTCAGTTATAACTTTAAAAAGACAGAGCCTCAGAGACTTCGAGGACAAAATAAAATATATCAACATATGAGCAACAGCAGTCCCAAAAAAAGGAGAAGATAAAAAAACACAAAAAATAATTGAATAAGTATCAAAATGTTCCCAAATTAGAAGAAAAATATGTACAAATCCAGAATGCCCACTGAACCCAGTTAATGTACACATAAAAATCCATACCTAGAAACATTACAGTGATAGGGCTGAAAGCCATGACATAAAAAAAATTTTTTAAGCAGCAAGAAGAAAAAGATTTCTATTTCTCTATGTTATCATTATCCTCTATGAAATTGTCTGAAATCCCTGTGAAATCATGTTCTCTGTCACAAAGAACCTTATTTGACATCTTTATTCTTGGCACTGGAAGAATTAATACATAATATAGAAAATCAAAAATGAAGAAAATGAACATTCCATTGATGGGCTTATATTCCCTGCAAAAAAAAAAAGATTGCTTAGTGACCAGAGGGAACAAAGGTGAAAAAGCAGAGAAAGAAAATTCAAAGGGGTAGTCCAAGATGGATTCTGGAGCAGGAAGATTCTGAACTCCCCTCCCACTAAGGGCACACCCAATCTACAGCTAACTTACTAGCAACAAGAAAACATATAAAAGTAAAAAACTCACTGGTAAAGGCAAATATAGTAAAGGTAGATTAACCAGGTATATATTTAGAAACAAAAGCCCAACAAATAACTGTAAAATTTCTATGGACTCACAAAAGACCCTGAGTAGCCAAAGCAATCTCAACAAAGAACTAAGCAACAGACATAATACTCCCTGATTTCAAGCTCTGCTACAAAGCTATTGTCATATACTCTGGTTTCATTCAGATCATATAAATATTTCCCCTTTCTACTCCAAAGTTATTATAATCAAAACAGTATGCTATTAGCATCAAAATACATATAGATCAATGGAATATAATAAATAGAGAGCCCAGAAATAAATTAACATATGCATAGACAGCTTATAATAAGAATATACAATGGAAAAAAGATAGTCTCTTCAATCAGTGATGTTCAGTCCAGTCAGTTCAGTTGCTAAGTCATGTCTGACTCTTTGCGACTCCATGGACTGCAGCTCACCAGGCCTCCCTGTCCATCACCAATTCCCGGAGTTTACTCAAACTCATGTCTATTGAGTCAGTGATGCCATCCAATTATCTCATCCTCTGTTGTCCCCTTCTCCTCCTGCCTTCAATCTTTCCCAGCATCAGGGTCTTTTCAAATGAGTCAGCTCTTCTCATCAGGTGGCCAAAGTATTGGAGTTTCACCTTCAACATCAGTCCTTCCAATGAATATTCAGGACTGATTTCTTTAGGATGGACTGGTTGGATCTCCTTGCAGGCCAAGGGACCCTCAGGAGTCTGCTCCAACACCACAGTTCAAAAGCATCTGTTCTCAGCACTCAGCTTTCTTTATAGTCCAACTCTCACATTCATACATGACTACTGGAAAGGCCATAGCTTTGACTAGATGGACCTTTGTTGGCAAAGTAATATCTCTGCTTTTTAATATGTTGTCTAGGTTGATCATAAGTTTCCTTCCAAGGAGCAAGCGTCTTTTAATTCCATGGCTGCAGTCACCATCTGCAGTGATTTTGGAGCCCCCCAAAATAAAGTCTGTCCCTGTTTCCACTATTTCCTCATCTCTTTGCCATGAAGTGATGGGACCAGATGCCATGATCTTAGTTTTCTGAATGTTGAGCTTTAAGCCAACTTGTTCACTCTCCTCTTTCACTTTCGTCAAGAGGCTTTTTAGTTTCTCTTCACTTTCTGCCATAAGGGTGGTGTCATCTGCATATCTGAGGTTATTGATATTTCTCCTGGCAGTCTTGATTCCAACTTGTGCTTCTTCCAGCCCAACGTTTCTCATGATGTACTCTGCATATAAGTTAAATAAGCAGGGTGACAATATACAGCCTTGATGTACTCCTTTCCCGATTTGGAACCAGTCTGTTGTTCCATGTCCAGTTCTAACTGTTGCTTCCTGACCTGCATATGGATTTCACAAGAGGCAGGTTAGGTGGTCCGACATTCCCATCTCTTTAAGAATTTTCCAGAGTTTGTTGTGGTCCACACAGTCAAAGACTTTGACATAGTCAATAAAGCAGAAGTCAGTGATGTTAGGGATACTGAACAGCCATATGCAAAAGAATGAAACTGGACCACTATCTTGTATAATATACAAAAATGAACTCAAAATGGATTAAAGACTTGAATATAAGACCTGAAACCATAAAACTAGAAGAAAACTACATCAGTCTTGGTGTTAAATTTTTGGATCTGAATCCAAAAGCAAAGGCAGCAAAAGTGGGACTATATCATACTAAATAGCTTTTCTGTGCAAAGGAAACTATCAACAAAATGAAAAGGCAACAAACTGGATAGAAGGAAATAACTGAAAATATGTATCTTATAAGGGGTTAATATCCAAAATATATGAAGAACTCAAACAACTCAATAGCAAAAACCCCCAAATAGTTCAATTACAAATAGGCAGAGGCTCTAATAAGACATTTTCCCAAAGAAGATATACTGATGGCCAACAGGCACATGAAAAAATGTTCAGTGTCACTAATTATCATAGAAATGCAAATCAAAGCCACAATGAGATTTTCCTTCACACCTGTCAGATGGCTATTAACAAAAAACAAGAAATAAGAAGTGTCAGAAAGAATATGGAGAAAACTGAACCCTCACACACTGTTGGTGGGAATGTAAATTAGTGTAGGCATTAGGGAAAACAATATGGAGATTCCTCAAAACATTAAAAATAGAACTATCACCTATTCCACCAGAAGAAAATGAAAACACTAACTCAGAAAGACGTATGCACTCCTATGATCACTGCAGCATTATTTACAATAGCCAAGATATGAAAAGAACTTAAATGTCCACTGATAGATGAACGGATAAAGAAATGAGCATGCATATGCACGTGGGCACACACACACACGAATACTTATCAGTGATAAAAAAGAAAATCTTACCATTTGTAACCACATGGATGGATCTTAAGGTTATTATGAAAAGTGAAATAAGACAGAGAAAGACAAATACCATTAGAGGTGTAGATTCTAAAAAACAACACAAATGAATAAAAACAAAATGAAACAAAAATCACAGATACAAAGGACAGATTGGTGATTACCAGAGGGGAAGGGGGTTGGAGGTTTGGTGAAATGGGCGAAGAGGGTATTTATTGTGGTGATCATTTTGTGGTGTATATGAATATTGAATTATCATGTTGCATATACAAAACTAATACAGTGTTACATACCAGTTTTATCTCAACTAAAAAAATTTCTCATGGTGGAAAGTAGAACTGCCATGAAAGAAAATAAAGAAAGAAACAACAAAATAAAGAAAACATGGATTTTAGCAACAAATAGTTTCTAAAAGCAAAGAAAAATTTTTTTTAGATATTAGATACTGAATCTAAAATTCCAGTAGCTGCTACTTCATTTATTTTCACAATCTTTGGCAGTTGTGTTGAGCCAGGTGCTGTCAAGAGCTAGAAATGATTCTACGATGCTCTGAGGCAGGGAACCCTTGGGGAGTTGGGGGTTCTGAGTTCTAGGCTCTAACTTGTGGAGACCTTGCCCAAGTCAGTCAGCCTTGTGGGGCCTTTCTCATCTGAAGGGGCGGGTGAAAACTGCTATGATTCCTAAAGGGTAGAAAGGTCCATGATTCTGTGAGGTTCACTTTTCGTCTGGCCACTGTGTGTCAGGGTAAGAACAAGCCAATGACATAATAGACTTTAGTTCCTGCAAGTCCCTTAGATTTTGCTCCTTTTTTTCCCCTCACTATTTCAAAATAGTTGGGGAGATGGGGAGAGGGCCAGTCATATGAACTTGAGGCAATTCACATGACGATTTGGAGCCTGTTTCTTTTTTTTTTTAACTTTTTATTTTGTATTGGGATATAGCCGATTGACAAACAATGTTGTGATGGTTTCAGGTGAACAGCAAAGAGATTCAGCCACACACACACGTGTATATATTCTCCCCCAAATACCTCTCCTATCCAGGCTGCCATGTAACATTGAGCAGAGTTCCATGGGCTATGGAATTCTGGTTATCCATTTAAAATATAGCAGTGTGTACATGCCCATCCCAAACTCCTTAACTATCCCTGCCCCCTCCATTCTTTCCCCACACCAACAACCATAAGCTCATTCTCAGTCTGTGAGTCTGTTTCTGTTTTGTAAGTTCATTTGTATCACTTCTGTTTAGATTCCACATATAAGAGATGTCATAGGATATTTCTCCTCTCTGAGTGACTTCACTCATAATGTAACACTCTTTAAGTCCATCCATGTTGCTACAAATGGCATTATCTCAATCTTTTTATGCCTGAGTAATATTTCATTGTATATATGTGCTACATCTTCTTTGTCGATGGACGTTCTCTGTCGATGGACATTTAGGTTGCTTCCATGTCTTGACTGTTGTAAACAGTACTGCAATGAATACTGGGGTGCATGTCCGTTTTTGGATCATGTTTTTCTCTGGATCCATGCCCAGGAGTGGGATTACAGGGACATACAATATCTGTGTTTTGGAGTCTCAGTTTATTCATCTAGAAATTAGAGGGCTGAATAATTGCTTTCTAAGACCGTTTCTATTCTGACCTTCTCTGGAACTGTGGAAGTTCAGGGATTTTTGTAACTCTGTCTCCCAACTGCGATCTAGGCCCTATTCAAGGAAAGTTGAGTGCCACTGCCTAGCTCCTTGGAGCAATTCTAACTCAGCTCCTAGCTGAATAGCCAAAAGCTTAATTGAATATTTAAATGATTTAAACTCAGACAATTTTTTTTTAAATGCTAGATTGAAGAACTTGAAGGTGTGAAGATTCTGAGATTTTCTAGTCCTATTTTTTATGGCAACGTTGATGGTTTAAAAAAATGTATCAAGTCCACAGTAAGTATTTTATCCCTAGAAATTTGGTTTCTAATCACCTTTGAGACTTCATTCATTTTACAGGTATTTATTTGGCCCTATGACCCATTCCCTTTGTACAGGGCATTAATAATTATAACACTCTTGCCCTCAAATAACTTTTAATCTATTAATATTTGGGAACAGGAAAAAACAATAATAACACACATGTTAAAATTCAGGTAGCGATAATTGTGCTGGACAAAACCACAGGAGATGTCTCGAGGCAGAATCTGAGTAAGTTCCAAATAAGAAGTGTAGACAGTAAGTGTTAAGATTTCACAGAAGGGAGCGATCCATGTCAGTGGACTGCTCAGGCTTTGCATGGCAGTTGGGCAGAAGGAAGGAGATTAATGCAGGGGCTTGGGAACTATGTGAGCTGAGAGGAAAATGTGGGAGTGTGTATTGGGTAAGGGGTGAGGGGCAGTTGGAATAAAGGGTAAAAAGTCTAAGTGGGTTATATAAGCAGGGAATTCTGGTCTTGAATTCTATGCTATGCTTTGAAGGTGGAATTTACCTCTAGATCAGTGTTTTCCTAAGGTTCAAAGGAATGTTCCTAAATTTTGCAACAAGAGGGCTTTGTTATGTTAAGGAAATTTGTTAAGGCTTAAAGCTAAAAAGGTTATTCTTTGCTGGTTTTTTTTTTTTTACAGTCTTAGAGTCTTCAATGTGCTACCACCTTTCCTGAGTCTCTGGAGAAGGAAATGGCACCCCACTCCAGTACTCTTGCCTGGAAAATCCATGGACGGAGGAGCCTGGTGGGCTGCAGTCCATGGGGTCGCGAAGAGTCGGACATGACTGAGCGACTTCCCTTTCACTTTCCCTGAGTCTCTGGGTAGGTGGGTTAGGGTGGCCTGGTAGTGGAGACCTCCATCAGACCTCAGAATTTCTTTTTTGGCAGGATATAGAAGGGAGTAATACTGCTTGAGAAATAGCCTTTCCAGATAAAAAGTCATTAATGATCTTTAGAAACCAAATGTTCTAACTAACTTAACATTTATTTCCTAAGGTTGGATTTGATGCCATTAGAGTATATAATAAGAGGCTGAAAGCACTGAGAAAAATACAAAAGCTCATCAAGAAAGGGCAGTTAAGAGCAACAAAGGTAAGGCAACATCATCCTTTCCACTCCCCCTCTGAAATTCTCTCATTTCTCAGATGACATTAAAGCAGTTAGATTGTCTAAAATTAAATGTACCCTCTTTGGTACCCAGATGTGTACAGGCAGATGACACATGTATGTCAGAGAACAGCTGAGTTGTTCTTTTAGGCAAGAGAGAAAGGGAAAAAAAAAAAAGAGAGAGAGAAAGGGAAAGAATAAAATGACATCAACAGAGCTCCTTGGAAACACAGGGCATGATTTATCTTCCTCTTTCATGAAATAAACCTTATTTTTACTGAACGGAACAAAACAAGTGCTAATTCAATACCAGAAAATTATTCACAATAGAAGACAGTTATAGGTTCATAGACTTTTAGAGCTATGATATTACCTTTTATTCAAACTTTCCTGCCAATATATCTCTTGCCTAAGTTCCACCATCTTCCAGAAATCAAGCATTTCTTGGCTCCACTGCTCTCTATTTCTCTTCCTAGAGAACATCAAAATTTGGGCTGAGGTAAATCTTATTCCATAAGAGTTCATCCTCTTGATGTTTTGCTTACCAAGGAACAGTTTGTAGGACTGTTAAGTCATTTTAGATTAATTGTTGAAAGACATCCCAGCTAACTGGTAATTAAGTTGGCAATGCTTTCTTTGTTTAGAATGGCATTATAAGTGGTGCTGGTTCATCAAATAATGCTTTTGAGCCTGATGAAGACATTGAAAATCCAGAAGAACCTGATATCCCAACCAAGGAAATAGAGATCCAAGTGGATTGGAACTCTGAGCTTCCAGTCAAAGTGAATGTTCCTAAAGTGCCAATCCATAGCCTCGTACTTGACTGTGGAGCCGTCTCTTTCTTGGATGTTGTTGGAGTGAGATCATTGCGTGTGGTAAGGTTCTGGTATTTCGAATTACAGATTTGGAGCTTTGGTAATAGTAAAACGATGTGGGTTTCCTAGTCTTGCAGAAGGGTAACTGATTGCACGGGTTCTGTAATTTTTCTAGGGGAATGCTTTTGCAATGGAATGTTTTGTTAAAGCATGGGTTGCAGAGCTGGACTCCCTGGGCTTGAATCCTGGCTCTACCACTTATTAGAGGTGTGACTGTGAGCAAATCGCTTAATCTGTCTGTATCTCAGTTTCTCCATCTGAATGTGGGGATAGTGATGGTACCTCCTTCATAGGCTTGTTATGAGGATTAAGTGAGAAGAATGAAGAGTGTCTGGCACATGTTCACCCATCAGCAAGTATTACCGTTTGTTATGTTTTCTTTTCCTGAGAATATATATGACATGGAATAAGAAAAGAAAAATGGGCAAAATTTTAAGTATGTTTTTATCTGTTATGTGAACAGCAGCAGAATGAGAAACACAGTAAGACTGGAAAAGCCAGGCAGTATCAGGGTTAGATTTGTAGGAAGTAGGCCATACATCTAGGCAGTCAAAGAGCTGAATGAAGAGCATGTGGGACAGAAATGTTTTTATCAGAAAGCAGGTATGCAAGCTCAAGTTCAGTATTCCTTTAACAAATAGATGTGCAATGCCTCAGGTGTGCCAAGCACTTGGCTGGGGACCAGAAACTATTAATAATTATGAAGTAGCCATAGTTCCTACCCTCCTGGGACTAAGTGATCTAGGGGGCAAGGCAAATGTTAAATAATCTTTTAAATAACAATTGTATTAAGTGCTCAAAACAGACTAATTGGATGTCAATTTGACCAGCGAGGGGCGGGGGGCGGTGCTGGTGGTGTCAAGTTTCAGTGAAGGCTCATGTAGATATCAAGAGGATTGGGCAGAAAAACAGCCAGGTTCAAGGCACTGACAATCAGGTTTATGTAATAATATCAAACTACCCTCAACTGAGGTTTAACTTAGCTGGGGCTTCTTGTTGCTTTCAAATGCTAAAGTGACAATTTTGAAAACTCCAAACTTTATACTTGCATAGGGGTCTTGATCTTTTTTCCCCAGAAAATTTAAGCTCTGTTTTATTTTTTTTTTTTCCATTTATTTTTATTAGTTAGAGGCTAATTACTTTACATCATTGCAGTGGTTTTTGTCATACATTGAATAAGCTCTGTTTTATTATTGTCCATGGGTCTTTTGTTTTGTCCATAGGTCTTTGTTCTTAATTCTTTTAATTAAACTTTTTATTTTGAGATAACTGTAGATCCCCATAAAACTATAAGAAATAATACAGAGAGATCCTCAGCACCACTTACCCAGTTTCTTTCAGTGGTACCATCTTGCAAAACTAGAGTGTAAGAGCACAATCACTATACTGACACTGTTACAGTCAAAATACAGAGGCCCTGGTTTTTAGGTCAGTGTTTACACTTGGTGTCTGGTGGCCGCATATCCACAGCCATATCTCTTCCACTCAGAGACATAAACTCATACTCTTCTTTCTAACCAGCAGAGGTTGCATTAGGAAGCCTCCTGTACTCCCTTCTTTCCTTCCTTCCACAAATATTTACAAAGCACTTGTGTGCTATCCAGTGCTGGGCTATTGAGCACTGGATGTTGCCACCTCTTGAGACACTGTCTTTTCATCCTAAGCATCATCACTGTATGTTGAAACTTCTGTGGTTTTCCAATTTCCAACAATGAACTTTCTTCAAACTCCTGATTCACCATGAAATTGTTCAAAGTTTCTCCTGAGCAAGTAGTTGAATGCTACTGAGTTATGGGCAGGTAAAGTTACTCATTGTTACAAACTCTCCTTTTTAAATTTTTAGATTGTCAAAGAATTCCAAAGAATTGATGTAAATGTGTACTTTGCATCACTTCAAGGTAATTGCATATATACATATCTATCTATAAGACTTTTCCTTAAGCCTTTTCTCCTACTTTGGAATGTGAGTATATAATGTCCAAAGGCCTTTTTTTCCAAAAACTATTTTTAATGTGGTAAAAGAGATATAAGACTCGTGCTTTTAGTCGAGAATACAACTAATTCAGTGGCATTAAATACATTCACCGTGTTGTACAATTAATCACAACTATCCTTTCTTGCTTTCTTTCCTTTTTTTTTTTTTTGGTCAGTATAACATTTATTACTGAGATATTTTGCACAATTTGCTTCTGTTTACATCTTTGAGATCCAGTGTGTATTTTACATTTACTGCACATTTTTTGTTGTTGCTGTTGTTACTTTTATTTTTTTATTGAAGTTTAGTTGGTTTATAATATTATATTAGTTCCAAGTAAATAGCATAGTGATTTAGTATTTTTTCAGATTATAATTCATTATAGGTTATTACAAGATAATGGCTATAATCCCCTGTGCTATACAGGATTTTCTTGTTGATTATCCATTTTATACTTAGTAGTTTGTATCAATTAGTCTCCTACACCTAATTTGTCCTTCTACCTCCCTTTTGGTGACCAGGAGTTTGTTTTCTTGCTTTTTTTTTTTTTATGTGGACCATTTTAAACAGTCTTCATTAATTTGTTACAATATTGCTTCGGTTGTTTCATGTTCTGGGTTTTTGGCCATGAAGCATTTGGGATCTTAGCTCCCTGACCAGGAATTGAACCTCAACCCCCTGCATTGGAAGATGAAGTCCTAACCACCGGACTACCAGGGAAGTCCCATAAGTTTGTTTTTTATATCTGTGGATCTGTTTCTGTTTTGCACACATTCATTTGTATTTTTTTTTAAGATTTCACATATAAGTGATATCATAAAGCATTTGTCATTCTCTGTCTGACTTATTTCACTAAACATAGTATTCCTTAGGTCTGTCCACATTACTGCAAGTGGCAGAATTTCATTCTTTTTTATAGCTGAATAATATTCCATTTCATTTATGCCACATCTTTTTTTTTTTCCATTTATTTTTATTAGTTGGAGGCTAATTACTTTACATCATTGCAGTGGTTTTTGTCATACATTGAAATGAATTAGCCATGGATTTACATGTATTCCCCATCCCGGTCCCCCCTCCCACCTCCCTCTCCACCCGATCCCTCTGGGTCTTCCCAGTGCACCAGGCCAGAGCACTTGTCTCATGCACCCAGCCTGGGCTGGTGATCTGTTTCACCCTAGATATTATACGTGTTTCGATGCTGTTCTCTTGAAACATCCCACCCTCGCCTTCTCCCAGAGTCCATAAGTCTGTTCTATACATCTGAGTCTCTTTTTCTGTTTTGCATATAGGGTTATCGTTACCATCTTTCTAAATTCCATATATATGTGTTAGTATACTGTAATGGTCTTTATCTTTCTGGCTTACTTCGCTCTGTATAATGGGCTCCAGTTTCATCCATCTCATTAGAACTGATTCAAATGAATTCTTTTTAATGGCTGAGTAATATTCCATGGTGTATATGTACCACAGCTTCCTCATCCATTGGTCTGCTGATGGGCATCTAGGTTGCTTCCATGTCCTGGCTATTATAAATAGTGCTTATGCCACATCTTTTAATCATCTGTTGACAGGCACTTAGATTGTTTCCATGCTACTCTAAATAAAACAAGACCTAATTAAACCTAAAAGTTTTTGCGTAGCAAAGGAAACCATCAACAAAATGAAAAGACAACCTTCTAAGTGGGAGAAAATACTTGCAAATACTTGCATATTATGTGATTAACAAGGAGTTAATATCCAAAGCATATTGACAGCTACAAAGAACAAATGCTGGAAAGGCTGTGGAGAAAAAGGAATGTTCCTAGACTGTTGGTGGGAATGTAAGTTGGTACAACCACTATGGAAAACAGAATGGAGGTTCCTCAAAAAACTAAAAACAGAGTTGCCATATGATCCAGCAATCCCACTCCTGGGCAAAACTATAATTCAAAAACATACATGCAGCTGTATGTTCATAGCAGCACTATTCACAATAGCTAAGACATGGAAGCAAACTAAATGTCCATCAACATATGAATGGATAAAGAAGATGTGGTATTAATACATAACTACAATGGAATACTATGCAGCCATAAAAAGAATGAAAAGTGCTATTTGCAGCAACATGGATGGACTTAGAGATTATCCTATTAATTGAAGTAAGTCATAGAAAGAGAAGTACCGTATGATATCACTTGCGCAGAATCTAAAATATGACACAAATGGAACTATCTACAAAACAGAACAGATTTACAGACATAGAGAACAGATCTGTGGTTGCCAAGGGAATGAGAGGTGGAGAAGAAATGGGTTGGGGTTAGCAGATGCAAACTACTATGTATAGAATGGATAAATAATAAGGTCTTACTGTATAGCACAGGGAACTATATTCAATATTCTGTGAAATATATATATATATAAACTGAATCACTTTGTTGTACAGCAGAAATTAACACGACATTGTAAATCAACTACACTTCAATAAAAAATACTTGGAAAAATACAGACAGCTCATACAACTCAATATCAAAAAACCAAATAATCCAATCAAAAAATGAGCAGAAGACCTGAACCGGCATTTTTCTAAAGAAACATACAGATGGCTAACAGGCACATGAAAAGATGCTCAACAATGCTAATTGTTAGAGAAATGCAAATCAAAAAAACAGTCAGATATCATTTCATACCTGTCAGAATTTCTGTCATTATGAAGTCTACAGTTAAAAATGTTGGTATGGATGTAACATTGTTGGTGGGAATGTAAATTGGTACCACCACTGTGGTAAACAATTTGGAGGTTTCTCAAAAAACTGAAAATAGAAGAACCACTGGATCCAACAATTCCACTCCTCGGTATATATCTGGAAAAAAACAAAAACACTAATTCAAAAAGATTTGTGTGTCCCAAAGATCACTACAACTATCTATTTTCAAAAATATCATTGCCACAAACACAAACTCTACCCATTAAACAATTACTCTGAAGGTCTTTTTGCATCTAGAAAGATTGCTTCCAATTTGTGTCATAGAGCTGGTAACACCTGGAGACCTATGTCCTCTTAGCAGTGGAGGATCAAGGGGGGAAAAAACTGTCCTGGGGAGAGCAGAGCTGGAAATGACTCAAAGCCCTGAGACCTAGAGGAACTTGCAGGGCACAAATCTGTCTGTCGATGCACAAGTGGCGGATGGGAATACAGTAGTGGTTAGACTGAGCTCTCTAGGAGCAGAGCCTGAGATAAGGATTCTAGCACAAGTGATTTATTAAGGCAGTACACTGGAAAGTTCATCAAGAACTGAGGGGAGCAGGATAGGGCAGGAGGAGAAGACAAAGAGATGGCTTCAGAATCTACTTAGCATGGTTTCACAGAGAGAACACCTCAAGAAGAGCACCAGATGTTTTCTTGAGGCAAGGGGGCTGGCCCTTTTACCTCCAGATCAGTCCAGCTGTGGCTGTGGGCCACCCAAGGGAGGGGGTGAAACCTCCTAGGCCTTCTTCAGGTGAGACAGTTCCCATTGGCCAAAGAGTGTTCTCCAGGGACGGGTATAGCTGTGAACTGTTAGCAGCCAGACTCACAGCAGCAGGAGAATGGGTTCCCTAGAAAAAGAGATATGGCTGGGAAACAAGACCATCTATTAATACCACAACCAGTTATGGTGTCACCATTCCATGTCCTACTGGAAAAGAAACTGACAGAGAAGGATCACATTCTGGAAATGAGAAAAAAAAAAAAGATTTAAAAGGAGGAGTTTCCAAAACTTAGCATTGGTTGATGTTATATCTTTTCCTAGAGACTAACTAAACATTATCTTTTTCTTTTGAAGATCATTTGATAGAAACGCTGGAGAAATGTGGTTTCTTTAATGATAACATCAGGAAGGACATATTTTTTATGACTGTCCATGATGCTGTCCTCCATCTCCAGAACCAGGTGAAATCTCAAAAGGTTCAAGATTCCATTTTAGAAACGGTAAACATTGACACTTTCTACATACATAGCTTTCCCAAACTACCATGATTTCTGTAAATGGCAGAAAATTCCACAAACCTAAATTTGAATCCCAGCCCAGTGACATTTTTAAGTCACCTGCTTAACTTTTCAGAGCCTCAGTTTTCTCTTCAGAAAAATGGGAGTAAAACATTCCCCTTGCGGGGTAGATATGAAGACTAAATGGGATAGTTTACAGGAAAGCACCTGGTAGTACATTATTAGTTCCACAATGTGGGGGTTTACTAATAAAAGCAGGCAGTAGCTGTAATGACTTTTAAGAAAAAAGGCACCAAATCTTGGATCTTCTGTGATTTGTATGTAAATACAATTTAAATTCTCAGCAGTCTGTAAACTCTTATCAGTTTTTTTTTTTTTTTTTTTGCCTTTGGCCACACTGTGTGACTGTGAGATCTTAGTTCCCTGACCAGGGATTAAACCTGTGCCCCCTGCACTGGAAGTGTGGAGTCCTAACTACTGGACTGCCAGGAAATTTCCTATCAAGTTTTTAAATAGGATTCATTAGGTCATAAATGATCTTTGAAAAAAGAAAAAAAAAATTGAAAACCACAAATCATCCTAGAGTTTATTCTCCGAAAAACAGGATAGACCCTGATTTCCCACAGGCCTCCTTATTTTATCATTTTTCCTATAAAATACCCAGGACAGTTGAGGATTCTGATGGGTGTCACTGGGCTGGGCCTACTGCTTAATACAAGAATGTCATCTCTCATGGACTGTCTCACCATGAATTTGGGAAACTAAAACAAATGTCTATAAAAATGACAACAATAATAATTATTCTGATAATACAGTCCACGATATTTTAAATTGCTTCTCTTTTTTATAAAAGTAGGATAAGTAGATTCTTAGTGTAGATTGAAAGTTACTATTTGAAGTGAAACCAATTTAGAAAACAATAGTACATTATTCAATTCACCTATTGTTAGTAGAAAGATTGTTCTACTTAATGCTGTTGGAGAAAATACTACTTCTAAACACCAAGATGTGGATCTTAAATCCAAAAAAAAAAAAAAAAGGTGCTACACTCAAGATGCTCAGCTTTGAAAACCTGTAAACATTTTTTAAAAAGTCTAAGGACTTCCCAGGTGTTTAGAGGTTGGCAAAGTGAAGTGAGGTCACTCAGTTGTGTCCTACTCTTTGTGACCCCATGGACTGCAGCCTCCCAGGCTCCTCTGTCCGTGGGATTTTCCAGGAGAGATTACTGGAGTGGGTTGCTATCCACCTTCTAATGCAGGGGATATGGGTTTGATCCCTGGTCGGGGAACTAAGCTCCTGCATGCTGCGAGGCATCTGAGCCCTTGTGCTGCAACTAGAGAGAAGCAGCCGAGCCACAATTAAGACCCAATGTAGCCAAATAAACAAATTAATGAAAAAAACTTTTTTGATATAAGTGAAAATTGACTTATTGTTTTCCCTGTAGGTAACAACAACAAAGCAGGATAGTGTAAAGAGAATTGAGTTATTTATTTGTGAGATTAAAAGTAGCTAAAATGAAATGTTACTCTTACCTTGATATACATTTACAGTTGCTTTGGGAATATGCTTTATGGGTAAGACAAAGTCCAAATTGTTACTGGTTTCCTCTGTGTGTAGATTAAATTACACATTATGGCTAAAAAGCATAATTTTCCTGAATAACCTACTTGGTCCATAGATGTTGGTTTCTTGAGAGTGTTTATTGTCATCAGTCAGGAGCCCTTCACTTTGAGTTCCCTGAATGCTCAATGCTTTACTAAGTGCCCTTAGCTTGGTTATTGAAAGAAAATGACCATTGACTGCAGAATCATTTAGGCCGACTGGATGACTTGCTAAGTGTACACTTCAGAGGTTGGGGAAGTGAGCTACGAAGGAGGTTAGACAATGAACTATACCAGTTCATCTTGAATGTAAAAAAAATGGTGGAGGGGGAATTCTAGGTGGGAAATATGAGAGAACAAGAAAGCTGAAAAGGATTTTGAAGTATACAGATTTTAGATGAGAGGCACCAGCAAAGCTGCAAATCATTTACAGTGAAGAACCAGGTAGGTTGATGCTATTAGGCCTCTAATAAATAGTCTCTGTGTTCTCTTTGTCAAGATCGCCCTCATCCAAGACTGTAAAGATCCTCTTGAATTAATGGAAGCAGAAATGATTGAAGAAGAACTTGATGTCCAAGATGAGGTATGATCATTATTTTCGTTCAAAGAAAAGAATTTGAGTTAAACAGAATAATACTTGTAGTATTAAAAATATTTGATAAAAACTATCCCGGGAAAATAATTTTAAGAAAATACCAAGAGGGTAAAATGGAAAACAAGGATTCTCCATTGAAGACATTAAGTACTGGGAGATGGGGAGGTGCCTTTTGCCCCAAGCCTACAGATGTGATCAGCAACTGGAAGCAGCCAACACATTTGTCTTGATTTTATACCTAAACTTCTGCACACTTTCTCTTTCAGAGACCTAAGGCCAGTGGGATAGGAGAAAGGTGAATGGAGGGAATTTTTAAGCCAGGAGTTTCATAAGCCTCAGAAATATTGAGTTGGCCAAAAAGTCCATTTGAGTTTGCCAGCTCTTAGGGACAAAACCAAAAGAACTTTTTGGCCAACTTAATTGTATATGATGAGTAGGAACCTCTTCCTCTGATGATGGCTTTAGAGACTGATTCAAGTTGAAAGATGTTTCAAAATCAAGTAGCCCCACATCCTCAGTTCTGCAGACATCCTTCCTACCCCATCTCTAAAGATGTTCTCTCAGCTTTTGTGTGAATGTTTCTAGACACTAGCAACTAGTAGCTTTTCAAGGGTGTTTGCTACATAGCTGGAAGTCTTCAGGTCTCAGCCATGCTTACAAACTAGATTCACCCTTTCTCTAAGAATCATCCAGTGGACTGAGATCATTCTGGTTGCCTTCTCTGAATAGTCCTTAAATATTTGAGAGCAGCTTTCATGTTTATAACAGACTCTACCCTGGGTGAGACTCCTTCTGTTCTCTTGACTGTTCCTCACAGATAAGAAATTTGTTAGTTCTTCCCTGAACAAGAAGGGGATACAAAATCCCAGACAGGGTCAACTATGATGTCCCTTGGTCTCATCAAGATATTTACATTACTGTGACTTAAGAATGGGTTTATTTTCATAACAGCTATATCAAATTTTTTGCTTCTATGGAGCAGGGGTCCACTAAAGACTTGAGCATTATCACATGAACTGTGGTCTAGGTGGGTGCCCCATTTACAGTTATAGAATTGGTTTAGACCTTAATGCAGAACCCCGTATTTTCTGCTAGATTACAGGCAGAGAAGATTTTTAGGGAAGAAATCACTAAGTAGAGTGAAAATCAGGGGTTCTGCATTTTAGCCCATCAGCTTAATGAGCCCAGGAATGTCATTATGAAGCTGTGAAGTCCTTCCAGCTTACTAGTTTATGATTAAGGCTATGGGGACAACTTAGTTGAATGAAAACTCATATATCACAATTGGAACTTAAGAAGTTGCCACGCTATAGAAGTATTTTTGATGCCACATAAAAGCATCATTCAGGTAGGGTTCCTGTAGATAAGGAAACTGTAAAGCAGAGTGGTTTTAAGGGGCTGAACTTTAGACCAACAGACTTGAGTGCTGGCCCTGATTCTGCAACGTACCATCTGAGTAGCCTGGGACAATTTACTTATCCTGACTTCATTTTATTTCTTCATGTAAAATAGAAATAATACGTTACAGAGTTGTGACCATTAATGCGTACATGTAAAGGAATAAAACAGTCTTGTACATAGTAAGTGCTCAGGAAATAGTAATGATTGCTTTTAAACTACATCCAATTAGCGTATGATGAGGTACAAAATTAAATTTTTACCCTACTTTTATTGTGGTACTAAACACCTGAGTAAATGTAAGCAACCAACACTACAAAGACATATTTGCCAAAAAGGTAGACTTACGGAGAATTCTGTTGCATCAACACTGTTTCCCTCTTGTTTTCACAGGCTATTCGAAGACTTGCTTCCTGAAATTGAGCTCAGGAGGTCTCTCTAAGCAAAGACTGACTGCGTGGCAGAATTTCCCCACCGTGTAATTCTATGCAAATATTTTCTGCATTGACTATTTTCTTTGAACTTGAAACACTCATTCTTTTTCCAGTAGACTTTTAAAAATCTTCTTTTTTAACCTCTTAACCACTGAAAGAGAAGCACAAAGATTGTTTCTAGGCTTTATTTATAAAATGAGTAGTTTACTTCTAAAATGTGCAACATGGTCGAGAATTTAGCAGTTTGCAGGATCTGAGGGAACCATGCTGCTGCTCCTACAACAGATTTGCTAGGAGTGTTCATGTGGGTACATGTGTACTTCTGTGCAGCTGGGGAAAGGGTCACCCAACAGTCTCTGTGGGCAGGTGAGTCAGGAACAGTTATCCTGTAAATCTATTTCTGATTAACCTTGATACCTATGAGCTGTTCTGATCACAGTGTAAGGTCACAGTGAGTAAAGGCTCAATTATTAGTGTACTTATCAGTAAAAGTCTTTAGAAATCCCTTTTGGTAAATGCATCCAAAAAGTTTTAAAAATACAAACTTGGTTAATGAAGTCTTACTATATGTGATCAGATATGTAGCTAGAATAAAGGAAATGTTTATTTAAATGCTACAGAATTGACTCAGAGAAGTGAACTGATAAGATTATTGTGGTTTATTGATATCATTTTTCGATATAAAAAGCAAAGCTCCCAAATAAGATCCAGTAAAAATACATGATACACTATCTTTAGTTGAAAAATGCAGTTTTAATTTACCTTAGTTTATAGAAATAAGCATTCTGCAGAGTATATTTAAGTATGGTCTATTTAAAATCTAACAGAAAAATTGTGTTATTTTGAACAAAAATCAATTTTAATATGTTCATAAGACCATGATGCCTAAAACAAGTTTATATTTTTTGTTAAAATGTTAGCAAGTATGTGAAGCGATCTGTAACTAAATCCTAAACACCTTTCAAAAAATCTAAAAAGTGAACTGCTTATGTGATATATATGTGCATATTGATTAAGACAAAGCATTCTAAATGAGCTTAATATCAAAGGAAAAAAGTTGGTTTGGAATATACACATTGAAAATATATGTTTTTAGAAATCCATATGTTAAGCCAAAAATATTTTTTACTTAACCTTTTCTGAGGGCCAATAATTTTCTAAGCATTATGTATAATATATTGGCTTTGGTCCTGTGGACTGGTTGCATGTATTTTACACTGGACTGAATGAAGTTGTACTTCATTTCTAGAGAAAAATACTCAGGTTTTCAACTGAGATAATGTCTTAACTTGACTGAGAATGGTATTGTATTTCTGGCACAGATGTGTGGAGTTCCTAAAGACATTTGGCTATCCAAAGGCAGCATATCTTATCTCTGGTTTTCTTAAATATAATCAGAAATAAGGTCTCTATCTACTTCTGAAGAAATGTCATTAGTGATCAGATCAAATTGGCTGACTAAAAAGCATCCTTCTCTTCCTTCTACCCCCACTACATATTAGAATTTCAGTGAGTTATAGTGGCCTGAGATGTTACAATAGTCTTTGATGCTCATGAGTTATACTGTCTTTAATTGATAGGGAACAGATTTCTCACTTAGTTGGATACAACATAACCAGGATTGTAATGTTATCTCATTTTTACAGTAATACTTTTCTATAATGGCAACAAGTCATAGCTCTAAAGACTGAATGTAATAGTCTTGCAGAAAATGGATGAATACCTCTGTTCAATAGAGGAAATATGCACTACTCTCTCTCTTTTTCTTAAGTCAAAGGAAATACCAAAGTTACATTTTAAAGGCTAGAGTTTTGTAAGATCTTGGGTCCATTTATGGCTATATAAGACCACAGTCTATTTGACTTGTTTCCCAAGCACACTCTAGTAATTTCGTCTCTTTATGCATCTTGTGAATAGTAAACATAATTTTAATTCTATATTTTCAGTAGAAATTTTACTTGAAATTAAAGCTTTTGTTATGTTTTTAACCTATAGGATAAAATTCTACTATTGTATATGAATTTCAACAAGTGAAAAAGTCAAATCATGTACATATGGAAATATTTGCACATATTTTTTATGAAAAATAATGTTACCTTTTAAACTACTCTGATGTGTCCCTTCTGAACAAAACTATTAAATGTAATAAAAATGCTAAATTTTAAGTGTGCCAGTACTTTTTTTTAAATTGGGATATAGTTGACTTACAATATTATATTAGTTTCAGGTATACCATATACTGGTTCAAAATTTTTATAGAATACACTCCATTTAAAGTTATTATAAAATATTGGCTATATTTCCTGTGCTATGCAATATATCCTTGCAGCTTATATATTTTATACATAGTAGTTTTTACCTCAGAAGTCCCTACCACTATCTTGCCTACCTTTCTACTCTCCCCACTGGTAACCCCTAATTTTTTGTCTTTATCTGAGTCTGCTTCTATTTCATTATATTCATTAGTTTGCTTTATTTTTTAGATTCCACATATAAGTGATAACATGTAGTTTTTGTCTTTGACTTTATTTCACTAAGAACAATACCTAACAGGTCTATCCATGTTGCTCCAGGGGCATTTTTGCATTCTTTTTTTACAGCTGAGTAATATTCCATATTATACACACACACACACACACACACACAAACACATATATATATATATATATATATATCATGTCTTCTTTATCTATTCTTGGACATTTAGGTTGCTCCTACATGTTGGTTATTACAAATAATGCTCCTGTGAACACTGAGGTGCATGTTCAAGTTAGTATTTTCATTTTCTTCAGATAAATACCCAGCAGTGGAATTTCTGGGTCATATAGTAGTTCTAATTTTAATTTTTTGAGGAGCCTCCATAATGCTTTCTACAGTGGCTGCACTTATCTACATTCCAACCAGCAGTGTAAAAATGTTCTCTTTTTTCCACAACCTCACCAACATTTGTTATTTATGGTCTTTAGCACGATAGTCATTCTGACAAGTATGAGGTGATAGCTCACTGTAGTTTTGATTTGCGTTTCTCTGATGATTAACGATGCTGAGCATCTTTCCATGTACCTACTGATCATCTGTATGTTTTCATTAGACAAAATGTCTATTTGGGTCTTCTACACATTTTTAAAAATATTTCCCTTTCAGGCTCCAGTTTCTTTCCTTTCTCTCCCTTCCTTCCTTCCCTCCTTTATTTTTGGCTGCAGTGGGTCTTCATTGCTGTGCGTGGGCTTTCTCTAGTTGCGACCAGTGGGGCTACTCTTCAGCTGTGGCGCACACACTTCTCACTGCGGGGGCTTCTCTTGTTGCAGAGCACAGGCTCTCAGGGGTGTGGGCTTCAGTCATTGTGATACGTGGGTTTGGTAGCTGTGGCCCATGGGCTTAGTTGCCTATGGCATGTGGGATCTTCCTGGACCAGGGATCAAACCCACGTACCCTGTAACTGCAGACAGATTCATAACCTCTGGACCACCAGAGAAGCCCTTCTGCCCATTTGTTTTGATTGGGTTGTTTGTTTTTTTGATATTGAGTTGTATGAACTGTTTATATATTTTTAATAATAACTCCAGTGGATCATATAATTTGCAAGTATATTTTGTCAATGGTTTCTTGTGCTGTGCAGTGGTTCAGTATTCTTATCAGTCATCATTTTGATGTATTCTTCATAGCTCTATTTGTTTTGGGTGTAATTTCTTTTTGTAAAAGACTTACTGATGCAATAAACAATGTCACATAAATATCTCGGTTCAATTTTATAATTCTTACCCAAATATTTCCAGCTTGTTCTGTGCAATGATTTTCATTATTTTAAGCAAATGTTTCTTTCTGGTACAAATACACATCAAAATGATGCAAAGCCTAGTGTACTACATGAATTTTCACAAAATAAGCATACCAGAGCAGCCAGCACCCAGATCAAGGATCAGGAAATAGCCAGCTCCCCAGATGCCCTCTCAAGCTCTCTACCAGTAGTTGCCTCAATGGATAATTGCTGTCCTGACTTCTAACACTTGTTCTTTGAATTTCATATAAGTGGAATCAAAAAGGAAAGATTTCTATCAAAATCATAAAATTGTTACCCTTTCTCTTGTGTCTTCTTGCACTTAGTAGTACAAATATAAGATTCATCCATGTTATTGTTTATAACAATCTTCATTCATTCTCATTGTTAAACGGTATTCTCTTGTCTGGGATTCCCTGGTGGCTCAGATGGTAAAGAATCTGCCGGCAATGCAAGGGACCTGGGTTTGATCCCTGGGTTGGGAAGATCACCTGGAGGAGGGCATGGCAACCCTCTCCAGTATTCTTGCCTGGAGAATCCCCGTGGAGAGGAGCCTGGAGGGCTACAGTCCATGCGGTCGCAAAGAGTTGGACACGACTGAGAGATCAAGCACAGGACAGTACTTTCCACTGTATAAATTTACCACCACTTATTTATCTATTCTACTGTTTGTGAATAGTTGGGTTGTTTCCAGTTTTTAGCTTTCATAAATAGTGCTGCTGAGAACATTGTTAAATTTTTTTTGTAAACATATCCAGACTATTCTATGAAGTTCATACCTAGGAGCATAGTTGCTGTGTCATATAGTTATGTTCAGGGCTTCCCTGGTGGCTCAGTGATAAAGAACCCACCTGCCAGTGCGGGAGATGCAGGTTTGATCCCTGGGTTGGGAAGATCTCCTAGAGAAAGAAAGGGCAACCCACTCCAATATTCTTGCCTGGGAAATCCTAGGGACAGAGGAGCTAGAAGGGCTGCAGTCCATGGGGTTCAAAAGAGTTGGACATGACTCAGTGACTAAACTACAACAACAACAATACATATGTTCTACTTCAGTAGACACTGCAGTAGGTATCTACGGCAGACTATTTTCCAAAGTGATTGCACCGACTCACACGTTTATCAGCTATGAGAATTTCAGTTGCTACATGTTTTTGTCTACACTTGGTTTGTGTGTCTTTTTCATCTGAGCTATTCTTGTGGCTGTG